CTATTAGAAGTCCTTGAAAAGTGCTTGATGTTGAAACTGTTTTATTATAATGTTGGCTAAATTTGGAAAGTGTTATCTACAGATATTTACACAAAGAATAAAGAGACACATACACATTTTCTCTCTGTATGAAGCAAAATCAAACAAAAATATTTCTTGTTTTAGGCTAGAAATAGGCTAGAAATACCAAATTACTTATATTTGCTGGATTACATAAAACTCAGTGAGAACATGTTTGGAGATTCTTTTAAAACTTTCCATGACCAGTCAGGTTGACTTTGAGAGACATCTCAAAACATAAAACCTAGTTATATTTTAGTTTAGTAGAATACTATCAGCAAAGTACTAAATGATCATATAATAGTGAATTGAAAATGGAGATACGAACAAAACCAATGAACTAAAAAACAGCTAAATGTTGTGCTGGAAATCCTTGAAAATTCTTTTAAAAAAAACATTTGACTGTTGGAAAGTGTATAAATGCTGCAAATGGAGCGTCTTTCTTCTTCATTTTGCCTCCAGGTCACTTCCTGTTCTTCCCAAGCAGCAACAGGACAGCAGCCAATCAAAACGCCTGGCTGGTGAGCCCTCAACTGCCACCGGTTAAGCCCACCTGTCTGAGGTTCTGGGCCTACAAGCCCCAGTCATGTAAGAACGATCGTTTTAATAAAATGCAGGTCAGAGTCTGGATCGTCAGATGCGTCATGTTTGGTTGAATGTTCCCAGCGGACTGCCAGCTGAAAGTATTGATTCTGTCTGGAGGAATCATCAACCAGCAGCTGATCCTGAACGATCTCAGCGGACATTGGAGACAATTTGAGCACAACATCACGTTTCATGAGGGATACCAGGTCAGACTTCCCAGAAAACTAGAAATTAGTCACGCTGGCTGACGATGACGAAGCTACTTAAGATTAGCGGTTTAGTTGTCGACACAAGGCGCTAAATCTTAAAAACACGCCTGGTCTATGAAAGTAAAAAGGAGTAGCAGTACTTTGCTACTAAAATAAATGTCTTTTTGCCCTCCAGTGTTGTGCACATGTGCAAACTTTTTGTACGTAATAATAACATTCAACATGTCTAAGTCACTGGTATTAAAGAATGTCAACGCTGACGTTGTTGTTCTTGTTAACAGATTGTGTTTGAAGGCATCAAAGGAACATCAGGTTTTGTAGCTCTGGATGACATCGAGTTCACCGTCGGGTTGGACTGCGCCACCAGAGTCACAAAACCAAGTAAGACTGGAAACTAGGGGAGGGAATTTAACGTCACTTCAAAAACTTCCTGATTAGTCCACGTTTGGTTTTATTGCTGTACAACGGCTGCTGGCGATGACAAGTGTTTTGTTGTTGACTTACCATCCAGAAAACACTTGCTGCATTCTCGTTGGTTGTGCAGGAGGCGCCACTTCTGCTTTTCAAAGATGTATGGTTCTAATGTAGCAGATCTGTTTCTATCCATTTTTAGGTGAGAGTGTAAACGGTGAGTTTTGGGGCGTGGCCAGCTGCTTATTTGGATTTAAAGTGACAAGACACCCTAAAACAGCTCAAATAGGAAGAACTGGTCCGACTGAAATCTTATTATCTGACAATTATTTTGTGCAAAAATTGTAATGAACAGGTTTTGTACAGCCCACAGACATATCCTAACCTGTTAAGAGATACCAACATATTTGTTGTAGTTTTTGGCAGCCTTTCTAGGAACAAATGATTTCCGTCTCTCTTTCAGCCTCGAAGCCGGACAACGCCGGAGGAATCGCTGCCTCTGTGATCGTGGCGTTGCTGCTGATCGGCACCCTGGTCGCTCTGCTCGTCTTCTACCTGCGAACCAAACCAGATGCCAACGCTCCATCGCTCGCTGTCGGGATTAGTAACGAAGGATATGTAACAGTGAGTCAAAAGATCCCAATAAAATCCAATCATTTGACCTTTTTTCACCTTTTTCTCTCCTGAAACCTGTTTGACGTTTATTAAATTCCCTCTCAGGAGGATCATGTGACTGATCCTCCAAGACAAAACCATCCGATGGCTGCAGGATTCAACAACGTCTCTGTGAGTTTTATTCAACTCAATCTCTATTGTTGAAAACAAATGATGACAAAAGCTTCACCACTAGGGGGCAGCAACTATTAATTTAAAACTCTGGCTTGACCACAGGTGTTTGCAACAGATGGAACCATTTTATTAATCAGTCCAAAATTATTACGAACAGATTGAAATCTTTTTTTTAATAGAAAATTAATAGAAATATTTGTCTTTAATAACCACATTTTCAGCATTCTATTTAATTTGATAGTGAATAGGAGCATCTATTCAGACTTTTTTTTTGAAAACCCAAAATTGCTTTGAATTAAGATATTAAACAGACTAAATACACCAAATATTTTCTTATAGTTGAGTTTTTTTTCTCCCAAAATTATTTTAATAACTCAAACATGCAAGATCTTGTTTAATTTTTTTCATTTTAATTTATTTTTTGCTTCAAGTTTATTGTTGAGCAGGGAAATATAAGGTTGTACTTTTTTTTTTGTAATTTTAAATTATGGTAAAATTATAGGTGGTCTAATAATCTTTTTAAATTCTAATTACTAAAACTGTTTTTTTCTCATATGGACCTTGTTGTGTCTTTAACAAAGCGTTGATTGATTGATTGATTGATTGATTGATTGATTGATTGAGTCTAATGCAGGAATTGTTCCTTCTGTATAAACTACAGAAATTTCTGCATAGACTAGAGAAATTCCTAATATTTTTCTAGAAATTTTCTGAGATTTCTGAGTTTTCCTCACATATTTTTGCCTTTCCAAGCTTGGAAATTTCCATTATTTTCCCAGAAGACTCCTGAGATTAATCTTAAAATTTCAGATTTGTTTGGCAGAAATGAACTCCTCATGTTTTGTTTTCTCTCTACGAACGGCCCTCATGGATGATTGAACATTTATTAAAGCATCTAGTTTGGTCTCAGATATGATTTTCTAGATGTGAAAGTGAGAAGTTCACATCCACTCTTCATTGGCAGGAGGATATATTTGTTGTTTGAACTTTAAAACTGTCAGCTAAAATTAGATAGTATCTGTTTGTTGTCGGCTCTGGTCCCTAACTACGACAATCTGCTGTTTCTGAACAGTTATGTGTGTAAAATTAGTGATTCGTGAAAAAAATAATTGAATAATTTAAGATTTTTGCAGATTACTGCAGTTTAATTGATTATCTTTGTCCTGCAGATTTCTGCCGAGGTCATAAAGAGGGAGGAGGAGTGACACGGGGAGCCTTGCCTCCGCCTAGTGGTGGTTTTGGGAAATGCAGGTGATATTACAGCAGGAGAACTGCTTGTGTCACCCTCAATTGTCACACCTACATGTAAACAAACACACATTTACACAGTCAGCACAAGGCCAGAGAGCTGATTAATGCAGGTCTGAGGGGATGGGGACCTTCAGCATGGGGAAGTCGGAGCTCATCGTGGCTCTCAGAACCGCGAAGCTGCATGAAACAGAATAATAAATCATTGCTGCGTTAGCGGGCACCGACGTGGGAACCTGGCAGTTATGAGCAGATTCTGAGTTTTAGATGAGATTTTGATCCTTTATTTTCCTAGATTTAGTTTGTTGGACCTGTTTCCTTTTGATAAATGACCACAGCTCTGCAACAACACAAAATCTGACCAAGTACATTTCTACTGCAAATATCATAGTACACTTGAAATAAGACTAAATTAACTTACAAATAACTTTTCAGTAAAATATGGGAGCTTGTGTCACATAACTTGTGTTTCATCAATCACAAAAAACATTGAAAAAAAAATTAAACATTTAAGTGAAGCTGGTTGAAAATAATCCAAAGTCAAAGAGCTGTTAGGAGATAATGTCAGTTTTCAGATAGTTTTTTATAATTGTCTTCCCAAATTCTTCAGCTTCATTAGTTTTTGTGTTCAAATGAAGAATGGAGAAGAAATAAAAAACCTTTATGTTGACATGTCGACTGTTCCAAACTGATCAAAAATAAAGCAAATTTTAAAGCACTTGTCTTTTGATTGTTTTGTTCCATTTCCTTTACACCATTTTTTTAAATTAAAATCATGTCTCTCCAAATGACTTACCACTGAATTATGTGTTTTATAAAATCTGATGAGTGTAAACTCATTTGTTTCCCATATATTGTGGTGTTTCACATTTTTATCCCAGAAAAGTATAAAAACAAGATTTTATGCATCTAAAGCTGTTTTCAGCTCAAAATTTGAAAAATCTTCAATTCGACATCAAATATCAACTTCAGCATCACTAGCTAGTTGCCATGTACTGATAAATACTCCTAAAAGCAACAAACAACATTTTCAATTTGCAGCTGAAAGGTTTCTCCTTCTAGTACTCACACCGCCCCCTGACAAGATGGCAACCTGGGCAAAGAGCCACAGCAAACATAATAGAAACCACTTGCAATAGATGGCAATAAATACTCTTCTGTGCAACAATAAAGGCTAAAAATACATAAATTTTTGTTTAGTTAGTCCGTATGGACTTTAGGGTTGGTGGTAAGAGTTAATGGTTTAATTTGAAGGAACTCAACTGATGTCGTTCAAAAGTTGTGCAGCTGTTTTGTTTTGTGTTAAAATAAAAACAGTAAAATTAGAAAAATTAAGTCATAATATTATGAAAAGGAACTCATAAGAGGATAAAAACTAATTACGAGAGTAAATTTCTAAAATGAGTTTATTCTCGTATCATTTTGACTTTATTTTCATAACATTATGTCTTCATTGTCTTGTTTTCTATATTTTTCTTAGTCCCATAGTCTTTAGCTCAGAGATGCTGAATAAAAAAAATCACACTTGAGTTTTCACATTTTTATTAGTGGAGGATTTTTTAAAAACCAACAATTTTTGACTCTTTTCCACGAAATCGCAGTGAAACCTTCTTCACATAATGAATGGGGAGTCTTAAATCCTCCTGCCTGTAAACCTGCTGTCAGGATTCACTCTGCTGGACCTCGTGACGAAGTGATGACGACACGATGCCCTTAGCAACGGTCGCGTCTCCTCGGCAACATCCTCCGGTGTCCCCTCTGAGCTGCTGCAAAGCGACCCCCATCTGCTGTTTCCGAGGGAGGCAGGAGGGAAAACCGGGGTGAAAAAAATAAGAAAAAAACATGAAAATCCTCATTTAACGCCAATCTGGGGAGGATGTCTGAACATGGCGCGTTGTCAGGGGGAGAAACGTGCGAGCTGAGCGCCTGAAGTTGGAGCGCATATCAAGGTAACTTCACCTCCTCCTCCCCCTCTTCCTCTTCATCACCATCATCAGCCTCTGGTTCTGTTGGCACCTGGTGGTTTTGCAGGAGGAGCCCCAGCTCTGCTTGAATGGATCCCGCTGTGCTCATCTTTCTGCTATACGTGATGATCGCGCACGACCTGGTGTGCGGCTTGATGCAACACCGCAGACAGAGCGCCAGACCCAGAAAACCCGCAGCTGGACCTTTGTGGCGCTCAAGGTGCGTCAGTTTGATGACCTGGAGAAACACTTCATTTCTGCTTCAGAATCAATATGTTTGTGTTTGACACTGACATGAGATAAAAGATCAGTAAAATATCTGAATATTAAATTCAGATATTTTCAGAAAAATATTTAAAATATTGTAAAAATTTTTGTATATATTTTTTAATTTGAATAAAACAAAAACAAAAACAATTTTTAAGAGTTGCCGAGAAATAAAATTTCTCAAAGGACAAAACTTTCTACTTCCGCTTCCGGTTGAATGGCGAGCGCAGCAAAGGGAGGCAGCTCCGTAAATATTTTTTAAATTACCTTTAAATCATCCTGGGTCAATACATGTTGATTTTGGTTCGCATATAAAACAACTCTGAACAATATAGATTATGAAAGACAGCCGGAAGTTCACTCAAAAAACTTCACAAACCGAGTTTCGGCCGGCTAGCTTAGCGCCGGCTAGCTCCGCCCAGGCTAGCAAAACGTAACCGCCATGGCTAACGAGGCTAAGGCTAGTAAATCTCCTCGCGCCGTCCCGAACAACGACGCTACGGGGTCTACTCAAGACGAAAACATGGAGGAAGAAGTCCCTATTCCGGTAGGAACGAGCTACGGGCGTAGAGTGAAGATTTAAGGATTAACATTAAATAAAATTAGCATCAGGAAACACGCAGACATTTAATCGTTACCAGACGATAAGCGGACAATATTAAAATGCTCCGAATTATCAGAGAAAATAGAAAGACGACATAAGAGCTACACAGATCTTTATCGGGGTTCACTGTCAGGCCCAAAAAGACGAAGAAGAATTATCTGAGTTTATTTATTGACTTTTTTATTTTGATTTATAAATGGAAGTTTGTGGAGATAACTTTATCATTTGATTTTATTATCAATATATATATATATATATATATATATATATATATATATATATATATATATATATATATAGTGGATAAACAACAGAGGAAAGCCGTTGTGGTAGATGTAGCAATACCAAGTGATTGCAACATTAGGAAAAAGAAGCATGAGAAACTGGAGAAATACCAGGGCCTCAGGGAGGAACTGGAGAGGGCCTGGAAGGTGAAGACCATAGTGGTATCTGTGGTCATCGGGGCCCTCGGGCAGTCACCCCCAAACTGGAGCAATGGCTACAACAGATCCCAGGAACAACATCAGACATCTCAGTCCAGAAATGTGCAGTCCTTGGCACAGCCAAGATACTGCAGGACCCTCAGGCCTCTGGTAGAGGACCTGAGCTCAGAGGATAAGAACCACCCGCGGTGGGTGAGAAGGGAATTATATATATGTATGTATGTATGTATATATATATATATATATATATATATATATATATATATATATATATGTATGTATGTATGTATATATATATAATTTATGACTGTCATTGGTCTCCCATGTTGGTTTATTTACCTGATTTATTTGACATTCAGGAATAGGTCAGGCCTGTCCTAATAAACAAGAAATCAAATAATTGCACGATGGATTAAATAAAATAAAATGGCTCAATCATTTCTATTTGCATGAGTTGTTGTTTTTATCTTTTCTCTCTGTCCACAAAAACTGGATGGCAAAAGTCAGGACAATTTTGTTTACGGAATTCATTTTATTTTATTTGTTGTTTTGTTTATTTTAGGGAAATTTAAAATGTCTTCCAGTTCCAGTTATAAATGTCCATAAAAATATAAAGTTAATTGATATTTTAGAATGTGTTCATGCATTACTTTTCCATTACCATGATATTAATAGAAAATGGTCTCAAAATAACAATATTGTTGATAATTACAATAACCTCTGGCACAATTTATTATCTATCAAAACTTGTAATCAAGACAGGCCTAAACAAGGGGTAGAGTATATTTTTTCCATATTTTTATATGAAGGACAAAAAGACAATAAAGAGAAAATTTAAAAGACAAACGTCTGAATTATAACAAGATACAACATTTGTTGCATTGAAAAACTTATTCATTATAACGAGATACAAAACTCGTCAACAACAAACTTTCACAAAACTTTACAAAATTCAATGAGGAGTTTTTGTATCACATTGTAACAAAATACAAATTTATAAAAACAAGACATTTTCTTGTTATAATGACATACAAAACTTATGATGATTTAAAAAAACTTGTTAAAATGAAAAACTTTCTCATTTTAACGTGTTTTAAAAATAAAGAGCTACTCCGACTCCATTTTCTAACTTCTCAATCTAGAGGAAACTCAAACATCACGAGTTCTTGACATTTTACTGTTTCTTTTTTCAACTAGAACACTTTTTAGCTTTAGTATAAATCTCATTCTGACAACATATAGAGCTTAAATCTCAATTAAATGAGAAAAGTTAAAGAGTTTTGTATCATTTTTAACAAGGAACTGCTCCTGAATTTATTTTCCGTACATTTGTAACTTTGCAACTCAATGTAGCTTATATGCTAAATGTTCAGTGACTATCAGGACGTCTTCTCAGGGAGTTGCAGGATTGAAACTAGTGTAGTTTTTCCCACATCATGTAACCTAGACTCACTTCGCTCATCTTCAGGCATGCTTGTGCCGCCCCTTTTCAAATGCTGCTCTGGGCAACCGCCCATGAAGCCCTAAAAATGGTCTTTCTATGTGATCCAGTATTTTAAAATGGCTTGATGCTTCATTGTTTATGCCTCTGAACCTTTGTGTGTTCATTTTTGTGTGTTTCCTCTACAGAGTCCGGGCGGGTCAGGGGATTCTGAGGACGAACAACCGAGGAGGGAGAGACCCGAGGAAGACCGGACGAATTGTGAGGAAAGCGTAACAAAGACAAAAGGTGGGCAATAATATTATTTCTTTATAAAATAAAAGACTTGAGCTTTTGTAATGTGAAAGTAAAGCCCTGTAACTGACACTATAACAAATGGTACAATTTTGGTTCCCTATCAATCCAAGTCCACTGGACTATCAGGTTTGAAAACAAATTAAGTATAATAACTTTAGATGAGGCCCCATCACAGAGGATTTATTTAATACATTTCCCGTTAAAAGAAACAACCCAAAAACAAAACAAGAAAAAATTGAAACAAGAAAACATGATCACCAATATTCCAAGTCAAACACACACACACACAACAAAAATTTAAGAATCCAAGGATTTATATTATTGTGAGACCAGCTTGCAGTGAGAATATCGCAGTTAAGGTTTACAGAACTCAGCAGATTTTCCAAGCAAGACTCCAGCCAGTAATGGTTCAGTGAATCTGGTCTGGACTCTGTGGAGGAGAGTCATGGTTTCAGAGACGCTGTAGAAGGACAGAATACCTGCTGTGTGATCCAGGTACACTCCGACTCTGGAGGAAACTGGACCGGAGATGGAGGTCCAGATACTGTTGTGCAAAAATGTGCAGTTGTTTTGGGAACAATCTAACGCCCAAGATTTCTCAGTGTATCCAAAAATACAGTCATGTCCCAATCCTGCTCTACTGATACTCTTGTATGCGACTGCTACATGAACTGACCCACTCCACTCCACCTCCCAGTAACACCGTCCAGTCAGACTCTCTCTACTCAGAACCTGAGCATAATTAGTGAATCTGGCTGGGTGACTAGAATAAGCCTGATTTTTGTTGGTCTTTGTCACCTTCCTGTTCCTCTCTGAAAGTTCCAGCCATGTGTTTGCTGTGTTTGGATCCAGAGTGATTTCACGTGAATATCTTAAGAATCCAGCTCTGCTCTTTGGTTCTGGTTCTGACAGTAGAACATCCACCTCAGTGACTATCAGTGAGATATTTCTCCATGAGTCTGCAGTGCAGGAATCACAGGCCACATCTTCAGGTCCAGCATAACAGTGGTCAGCAGGGGCAGCTTGGAGTCCAGTCTTCTTCAGCTGCTCCACTAAAGCTGCTAGCATGGTGTTTTTCTTCAAAACAGGCCTTGGTATGAACGTCTCTCTGCACTGAGGGCAGCTGTAGCTTCCTTTCTGATCCTCTCCATCCCAGTGATCTTTAATACAGTTCATGCAGTAGCTGTGTCCACAGGGAGTCGTCACTGGATCCGTCAGTAGATCCAGACAGATGGAACAGGAGAAAGTCTCTCGGTCGATCTGATTCTGCTCCATTTCTGCTCTCAGTCACAGTGATTGTCTGAGTTTTACTCATTGGGAACAGAAACTGGTTTGACCTGATTTATGACTCATGTCAATGTACAGAGGCTGCAGCCAATCAGGTTTTACCCACAAGTATTCTTGGTTACACCTAGCTACAAGGTGAAGTATTTATTTAAAATGAGAAGGTCCACAAAGGCTGATACATGAACAGAATTATATTTTAGATATGCACAAAGCCATCGGACACGTAATTTAAACAATTATGAAATATTGGCAAAAAATAATTTGAAGGAGTAGAAATATGTCCGCTCACATTAGCCCTGTTCAGTCCACTTTAATTAAACTTTGACGCTTTGGCCTAGAAAATCTGATTTGTTTAGGGATGTTTTGTGCAATCAAAACCTGATCCACCTTCAAAGCTCGTTCTCGGTTCGGTTGAAGTAAAATCTGGTGTGGTTTGAATGCATATGTGAACACCAGTCAGACCAGAGACGTAGGGATGTGAGCGTCATCTTGTGAGGCCAGATACGCAACAGAGAAAACGACTGTCTCACGGATAGTTAAATTTTTTTTAATCTAAATTATGTAAAATAATTTAGCAATGGTTCGAACTTGCTGCGTTATTGGGTGTAATAACCGATCACATGACGGAAACGGTAAAAAGATGGAAAACAAACTTTCGTTTCACTGTTTTCCTGCCTGTAAACAATGCGAGGCTAAGCTTTCGGTGCTGAGCTATCGGCGCTAATTAAAAGGAGACGAATGGCCTGGGTATAAGCGGTGAGACGTCCTGATATTACGTTCTCCAAGATCCCAAGATATCTACTAGTTTGCTCCAGACATGGTGAGTATAAATTTGTTTTGTTGGTGTTGTGTCATAATGTTTTGCTATGATTTGTCCGGGTTACTCATGTTCAGTTAAGTTGAGTTCATTTAAGTCGGTCAACCTTGTTTAAGTCGGGTTTATAGTTTTTATGTAGCATAGTCTGAGTTTTGTCAGTGAACATCGAGGTTATTCCATTATTGTAAAGTAAATATTTTACTAGTGTTATCTGTCCTCTTCACGGCAAACCGACGTATGAAATGGATTAGCTCAATCCAGACTGGGTTCTAGTGCTGAATCTGTATCACTGCGAGGTAAACGCCACATCGGACTGACATGCACGTCAATTAAAGATGTGATGTAGCCTCTTTAATTGGCTGTATCACCAATTAAAGAAGACATCCAGGGAGGTTTGCTGTTAGCGCCTCATCTGCTTCCGGACCCGGCCAAAAGGTGTGCATGTGGATGTAATGTCTGATCTTAACAGCATTATTCACGGTTCAGGTAGATTTTCTATTTTTACAGCTGTACATGATGCCTCTAGAAAGTAGTTTCTATGTTTTTCCTTGTTTCCTTGCAAGACCATGGTGGATCAACATGTGGGGGAGCAAGTTACAGAGACGGAGGCTATAGAAGAGGAGCAAGTCAGAGAGGAAACCCCAGGAGAGGAGCTCAGCAAGGTTGCACACTCTGAAGAGGAACATGAACCATTTGTGTTGAAATATGTAAAAAAATAAAAAAGGGGTCAAATGTAATAAAGATGAGTGCGCTTCAGCTATACAGTCTAGTAGAACAATTTCACACTGATTTTGAGTTAATGGGACACTCGATTAGGAAGCTGTTGGAAGAAAACATTAATTTATTTAAATATTAATTAATGTATATGATTTAAAATTTTAATAGATAGCATGCCTCGTTTAACAGCATGAATTACCACTTTTATATATCAGTTCGTCACAAGGCAAGGAATTTATTTACAAGAGTGTTTGGTTCTGAAATTGACGGTCCCCATATGAATCTCTGAGCGCTTGAGGAGAGAACAGCTGGCCAGAATTAGCATTTATAAATCGGATCAACCTTGAGCTAAACTTTAGCCCCTTACTCCACGGAGCAGGATATCCAATATTCAACTTGAAAACAACTTCAATGGAATAAAGTTTGATTTGGTTTGAGGCCTCTAAAGAAGACGTGAGACGTAAAGGTAACACGCAGTGATGACAGTAAAGCAGCAGGTCAATAGTGGTGGAACCAAAACCAGCTCTGTCTCAACTGTTTGCTGAAAGAACATGGAAGATGGTGAGGAATGTTTTAATAGAGAGCCTCCATCCTCATGTTTCATCAGTTTGAACCTCTGGGCTGATTAAGGCCTTATTGTTCCTCTGGTCACTAAGAACATCGATTAGGCCTCATTTATTGACAGTACAATTATTATTCTTAACCAGATTAAAGCATTTATCTGTGGAATGCTAAGTGTATGTATTGCTTGGTGCACATATTGTTGATATAGTTCAGGGATTCAAGGGTTTTTATTGTCATACCACCACCGGCCACCAGAGTGCCCCAGCCCCAGGCCAGGGTGGCTCCAGGGTGGGACCTCATGTACGGAGAGAACAACCCCTGTTTCCAATGGTTGTATCATCATAAGGGATCTTTGGGCTGCACTTGGTCTGGTCCCTCACCTAGAACCGTCTGCACTGGGCAGCAGAACTCCTAGGATCACTGGGACACGCAAACCCCCCCACCACGATAAGGTGGCAGCCCATGGAGGGATGTGTGTGTGTGTGTGTGTGTGTGTGTGTGTGTGTGTGTGTGTGTGTGTGTGTGTGTGTGTGTGTGTGTGTGTGTGTGTGTGTGTGTGTGTGTGTTAAGTAAATTACTTTTGGGGGGGGTTTGCAGCGACCAACTGACCTGACCTGCATGTTTTAGGAGATGTGGGGGGAACCGGAGCGCCCGGGGAAAACCCACGCAAACACGGGGAGACCATGCAAACTCCACACAGAGGGTCTCTGTGAAGACGCAGCGCTAACCGCTGCGCCACCGTGCTGCCCACGTTTTTTCAATTGGGTGGGGAAGGGATCGAATTTGGGGGAAAAACGTAACTGCTGTAACCTTCCTGCTGTCGGAGCGTCGCATGGCGCCCCGAACGCAGACGCTACAACCTTTCTGCGTCTGATTCCAGTCCTCAGTCTCTCTTGCATGTCTTGCTCCTTCTCTAAATGTTTTCACTCTTTTAGTTTTTTTGACTTCTTCAGTCGCAGAGTGTTACATATTTTTTTCCAGATTGAAAATTTAGACTTTCTCTTCTCACCATCCTGCATGGTGTCAGTGTGTGGATGGTCCAACTCTTCCATGCCAGTTTCGCCAGGGATCTCCTCCGTGGATTCTTGGTCCGAGGAACAAGCTCCTCCAGAAGCTCCTCCTCTGAAGAATCCTCTTGACTGGAAACACGGACCAGGTCGAGTTGGATTAGTGAACTTACCTCCTTCTCTTGGGAACCATCTTTCTCTTGTCTCAGCAGGTCAGAAATGACTTGGAGAGAGCCAGACAGATGCTGTCTGGCTCTCTCCAAGTCATTTTGCAGACAAGTCACCTCCTGTTGGTACTGCTCTGTTTGTTGTATCAAAGCAGTGATGTCCGTCTCGTATCGGCAGCTGAGCTCTTTGTACAAACCATCAGCCTTCTGCAACTCATCCTGGGAGCTGCTGAGCTTCTCCTGCAGGATGTTGACCTCTTGTCTGGTCTTTTCCAGGAGGACGGCGTTCTCGGCTCTGATGGTGTCGAGCATAGCCTTGCTGTTGCAGGGCAGAAAAGTTTCTTTCCTGGAGACGTTTCTCTTTCTTCTCTCTGTTAGAAAGAGTGGTTTCCTGTTGCTTCGTCCTCTGCCGGAACGACTCAATATGCTGCTGAAAATAGATGATGTCCGTCTCATATCGGCGTTTCAGCTCCTCAAAAGAATAGAAAACCTGATCAAGCTCATTCAGGATCTGTTTCTCCCTCTTTCGCATTATTTGGATGTTTCTTGACATGTTTTCGACAATCTCTTCCTTTTCTGCTTTCAGGTTTTTGATAAGCTCCATGTTCCCCTTTTCTCTTGCCAAGTTCGCCTCTTTCTCATCTTTCACCTCCAGTCGATATGTTTCCATGTCTTGTTGAATTGCAGAAACATCGCTTTTGTATTTGACGTTCAGTTCATCGTATGAACGCTTCATCTCATTCAATCGGTCCTGCAGAAGTTTTTTGTTGTCCTGCAGGAAATTTATCTTTTGAGACATTTCTTGAAACATCTGGTTCTTTTCTGCTCTCTCATTCTCCAGGAGTCTTTGTGCTTCTCTGATTCTCTCTTCATAAACCTTCTGTGTTTGGGCCTCCAGCCTCAACAGAGCAACTTCAGCTTCGTACTTGGAGCTCAGCTCCTTGTACGAAGTCTGAGGTGCCTCCATTTCTTCCTGGAGGCCCTTACTCTTCTCTCTCTGACGCTGTATTTCAGCTGTAAATACAGAAAATGCAGACTAGAACAAATTCCCCTTTCTGTGAATAATATCAAACTACAAAGTGTCAAAACTAAATCCACCGAAATCTGACTACATTCTTTGTTATTTAGACCAAGAAGCATCAAACTCAATGGTTTTCTTCCATAATCTTAATATTTTGTTTCAGAGTAAAGGATGAAATAGAACCGCATTTATCCTCAGACGATAACCTAACACGCACACAAAATAAAGAAACTGAAAATAAAAGTATGTGAAAACCTCACTTCAGTTCTTGTCTCATAAGATGCAACGCAGTGTTCTGTGTGACACAGCCGTGAAATGCATCATTAATTAATTTCATTCTCAATAAAAAAGAAAACAGGGTTGGATCAGCAGATTAACTCCAATCAGGTTTGATTATTTTTAATGTGATCAAAGTTTGTATCATCAGACGTATACAAGGAGCTGCAGCGTAAATGTGGACCTCTGGTTCTGATGGAGAACATCGCCGATAAGGATTCAGAGGGAACGATTGATCAGAGATCATATTGATCTGCTGGGAAATGTTGATGATGGTTTATTAGTGTTTAGATTAACCCAGACTGATCATCCTGGAGCTCTGAGCAGAACCTAAAGAAAGAGCCGTGCGGTACCGGTACCGGTCCAGCTGCAGTCGTCCTTCAGTCGAGGCGTGCCCGAATGCGTCTTTATGGACAGAAAGCGTCTCTATTCTGTAAACGCACAACTTATGCACATGAAGCCACCACTTAGAATAAATAATACGCATTTCCAAACTCTAATGACTTTCTGACTCTCTGTGTCTTTAAATTCGGGCTGAAAGTTCTGCTGGTCAAACAGACATTTGGACGATTTTCTTATTTTGGGAATTTTTTCTTTAAAATATTTTATTTTAATTTTTTGTGTGGTGACTCTTTGTGCCCTGAAATCATGTTTTAAATAAAATATATGATTATTAAAATACTTATTCAGCTACAAACCAGGACCGTTGTCATTGTTACTGCCTCACATGTTGACAGACTTCCTGCTATTTATACTAATTTACATTAAGATGTATTTATGGGTAACGACAGGCAGACCAGTAGCTGCTCTATTTTCCCCAAATTGGGTTTTATAAAGGAAGGTGTGCAGTTATATGCGTACGTAAGGCTTTATTCATCCGAATTATTTAGTGCCCGCACTTTTCTCCATTCATCCATTTGCCAAGTTTTACTGTGAAAACTGAGCACTCTTTTATTGCAGATCATTGCCAGCAGCAAATAAGACTCTGGAAGAAAAGTTATTGCTCTAAAGACGACCAAACATACAATTTATCACTTTAATGATTAGAAAACTTTCAACATTTCTCTGTAATCAAGTTCCTTTATTGAAGAAGTCCAAAGATCCAGAACAACAGACATTTTTTATGATATAAATCTAAAAATATGAGAAGAAAACAGCATCAGTTCTGATTTGATGTTCCAGGTTTTTTTGATCACAATATAGAAAACAGAAACAAGTTCAGATCCTTTGATCTCAACTGATTAACAACAAATTAAACATCAAAATACATGGATAAGGAAATTAAAGGAAAACTATTAGAGTCCAGAAAAGTTTTGATTTTCATTAATTATTTCTGTGATAAGAATGAAAGAAATTATCAACAGTGATTTCCTTCATTTCTCCTGTAACAAAAAGAACTAAACCGGAAAAATAAGAAAGATAAGAACAGCAGAGCAGAAACTTCAGAACCATGAACCCTTGTTGGATTTATTTTGTTCCCCAACCTGCAAGAATCAACCAAAGACAAAAATTACTTTTCTGCAGAAGAGGGGAGAAGAGCCCGACACGGAGAACCGCTAGCAAACGCTGTCTGGGATCAACTCTGCCAGCTCTCAGTCTCCAACTGCCTTTTATTATGTGAATACACAAAGAAGTTGGCTTTTTCACACAGTCATGCAAACAATTGACCAATACACTATCCCACAGGATGTTCTGGAAGTCTTCCGTTGACGAAGTCTTCCGTTGTGTCCTTGCCAGGACACAAGGATGACCGCTATCAGGATACAGATAAAGATCAAAGCAGCTCGTAACACAAGGATATGTAAAACATCTCTAACCCTTAAGAGAAAACCTAAAAAACAGTTAAGAATATACCATAAAAATAAGGAGACAAGAAAACAACACACAGCATAATATGAAAACATAACCATTCAAATAAAAGTAAATGTACTTAGATAAAAGTAAATTAACTAAGATAATAATTTTCCTAACAACCCTGATCAACAATCTGAGAGGAAAGAGGAAATCTATCTGGGTTTACAGAACTTTGCAGAGGATCCAATCTTATTAATCCTAACTCCAGCCAGTAGCGGTTCAGTGAATCTGGTCTGGACTCTGTGGAGGAGAGTCATGGTTTCAGAGACGCTGTAGAAGGACAGAATACCTGCTGTGTGATCCAGGTACACTCCGACTCTGGAGGAAACTGGACCTGAGATGGAGGTCCAGATGTTGTTGTGACAAAATTCATAAGTTTTTTGAGAACAATCTAATGCCCAAGATTCATTATTATATCCAAATTTACATTCATCCCCTCCTCCTGCTCTGCTGATACTCTTGTATGCCACTGCTACATAAACTCCCCTTCTCCACTCCACCTCCCAGTAACAACGTCCAGTCAGACTCTCTCTACTCAGAACCTGAAGATAAAACGTGAATCTGTCTGGATGACTAGAATAAGTCTGATCCTGATTCATCCATGTCACCTTCCTGTTTCCCTCTGATAGTCTCAGCTCGGTATTTGCTGTGTTTGGATCCAGAATGATTTTACGTGAATATCTTAAGAATCCAGCTCTGCTCTTTGGTTCTGGTTCTGACAGTAGAACATCCACCTCAGTGACCATCAGTGAGATGTTTGTCCATGAGTCTCTCAGGACGTCCTGTAGTTTGTCTCTGAGCTCTGACACAGCTGCTGCCACGTCCTCAAAGTGTCTCAGAGGACGAATGTTGATGCTGGATGAGTGTGTGGACTCACTGAGTGCTGGCAGTGGGGGGTAGTTGAGGAGAAACTGGTTGTGATCCTCTGTGAGTGAGAGCTGCTCCAGCTCAGCGTCTTTCCTCTTCAGCTCAATGATCTCCTGCTCCAGCTTCTCCTGAACATCTTTGACTCGACTCACTTCAGTTTTCTGCTGGGATCTGATCTGCTGCTTCACCTCAGAGCTTCTTTTCTGGAGGAGACGGATCAGCTGGGTGAAGATCTCCTCACTGTCCTCCACTGTTTTATCAGCAGAGCGATTGATGGCCTCCACCTCCTGCTGAAGCAGCTTCACATCTTTCTCCTGCTCCTGGATTCTCTGCTGGATGTTTCCTCGTCTCTCCTCCAGCTCTCTCTGCCTCTCAGTCCTTTCTGCTGCAGCTGACACTGTTTCATGGCCTTTATGTTCATCCACAGAGCAGAGATAGCAGATACACTTCTGATCAGTGCGGCAGAAAACCTCCACCAACCTATCATGCTTAGAGCAGATGTTCTCCTGGAGGTTCTTGGACGGCTCCACCAGCTTGTGTTTCTTAAATGCAGCTGAATCAAAATGAGGCTGAAGGTGTTTCTCACAGAAAGAGGCCAGACAGACTAAACAGGACTTGCTGGCTTTCAGTTTTCTCCCAATGCAGGAATCACAGGCCACATCTTCAGGTCCAGCATAACAGTGGTCAGCAGGAGCAGCTTGGAGTCCAGTCTTCTTCAGCTGCTCCACTAAAGCTGCTAGCATGGTGTTTTTCTGTAGGTCAGGCCTCTGTGTGAAGGATTTCCTGCACTGAGGACAATGGCAGCTTTTCTTCTTCTCTCCTTCATCCCAGAAGTTTTTAATGCAGTTCATGCAGTAGCTGTGTCCACAGGGAGTCGTCACCGGATCCTTCAGTAGATCCAGACAGATGGGACAGGAGAAAGTTTCCCGATCCAGCTGAACTGCCTGCTGCTCCATTTCTGCTCTCAGTAGCACTGACCGTTAGCTTTATTTCCTGAGAACAGAAACAAGCTTGAGTTGTGATCCACCAATCACATGCCAGGGCAGAGAGGCTGGAGCCAATCAGCTTCCAGCTTCAGCAGCTGCTGGTTCCACCCAGACTCAGTGTGTGTGTATTAAGTAACCTGACACCAGGAAGAGCAGCGCTCTGAAAGCAATGATATTTTAAACTGAATCATCTTCACAACAGTTTCTTTTCAAAATAACCGACTGAGTCGCTAAACTCAGGTTGTTAACATGTTTGCTCTCCACAGCTTGAGAAAATATAATGAAAGATTCATTCTTGCTGGAGAAACTAGATGTGTTTGGTGGTTCAGGGAAAATATGCTTCCTGTTTCCTGACTGCTCTATAATGACAACAGACTGCAGAGAGTCCAATGTTTGCATCGTGTTCACATCAGTTTGTAATCCGTATCTTTATAAAGCTGTAAAACTTTAACAGAACAGCATTTAGTAATTCTACTGCCAGATATGAGACAGAGGTCAAGTTCTGCATTTCATTTTCAGAAAATCATTTAATTCAAGGTTCAACATCTGACCAGTTCTTCTGTGTTTTATACACAACTTCATTGTTTCTGAGGCGTTTTCCCTCTTTGTTCTCGTTTACATCCAAAATGGTCCATGATTCATTGTTTTTATCTCGTATATCAGGGGCATCAAACTCATTTCCATTCGGGGCCAAATCAAATATCTGAATGTTGTGCCAGATCGTATTGATAAAAACCAATTCAATTGTTAAAATGTCAATAAATATGTGTTTCGGCATTCAATAAGTGTTTCTTAAAATAACATAATATTGAACATCTTTTCACACTAATCAGTCTGTCCAGGATTGTTTTTGTGGTTTTCTGCAGTCAACATCATAGATTTTGTGGAGCTAATTTAGAAATATCTGTAAGGAATCTTTACAATATTTGTGCTAACATATTACGTTAAATATGATCTTTTATTAATCGCTCCATCGGTCATGGATTATAACTTGACATCAAGTGAGGCTGAGGCAACAGTCGCTTGAACTTAAATGTTTTTGGACAATTTGAGAAAAACTGTTGATAAACCCAGAAAAAATGTGGGAATCAGTTGATTTCTGTGTGAATCTTGCAGTTATTGGTGAAAAACTGTTGGGGCCTATTGCTATAATTTGGAGTCTAGAACAGCGGTCCTTTTCATCACTGCGGACCGGCCCAGGCTCGGCAATGTTACTGCGGCCCTGGGGACGGGTGGGAAGGAGGTCACATGATACAATTTAAACATTTTTGGCCCGATTTTTCCCTATTGACAATCTTAGAACGATCCAAGTTCTAAGATTGTCGCTTGTGATCATTGAACGATCATCCTGTCTGTGTGGTGTGTTTGGTGGAACGTCGGACCGCTCCCATCTAAAATCGGACATGATCAACATGTCTGATTGTCTCTTTTATTGCATCCTGTTGGGTTTTCCCTGACTGGGAGCAAAACGCAGCCTGTTGAATGTGACAGGTAGCCAATCATAAAGCGCGGTGATGTAAGAACGGGGGGGAATCCCAAACAGCTGACATGGCACCTCAGAGAGTCCGGTTTAGTGCAGCAAATAGAGCGGCTGCCATCTTTTATCCAACGTTTTTTCTGTTTGTTTCACTTTGTATCGCTTGAAATTATCCACAAACTGTCACTACTGCTTCTACTTGGTCATCCATGTTTGATTATTCTAAATTCACTTGATATGTTGGGGGTTTTACTGGATTTTCTTCTGGAACCGGGATGGTCGTGACTGGAATCGGTTCTTGTGTCGTGTTTCTCCTGGACACACGAACCGACCAAACCTGTTGGACTTTTATCGGCTCTGTGGTCACAGAAGTTTGCAAAATCGGCCGACAATCTTTAAATCGTGCCGTTTGAACCAGACCTAAAACTCACAAGCTCCACTCCTCTCATCTCGTCTCGACCTGCTCTCTGACTCTGGTCGCTATGATAACGTTTACATTTCCCTTCAAAATAAGATCCACCACAGAATCGAACATTTTACTTTATAAAGTTTTTTACTCCCGATAACAATAATTGGAGCCCTGAAGTTGTTTCTCCCGTCTGGGAGAGATGAGAGACAATGACACCCAAAGTGTTGCTAATGCACAGGCTGCCTGGTCTCTACGTGGAGAAGCAGTTTGAAGCTTCATTGCCTCATTAACATCCGGTCACCAAATCCTGCAGAGCAGCTTGGAATGTGAGAATCACTAACCGGGATAAATCCACTCTCCTGTCTCTCTGGGCCTTTTCTCTTCACAAAGAAACTTTCCAAAGACATTTGTTTACTCATTTTGCTACTTGTTGGTGCGCAAGGCGTAACCAAGAGAATCCGGTTAAAGGATTTTCAAAATAAAAGCTCCTCCAGACTCACATACTACATAAAACGGAAACATTTAATTATTTTTTGTGCGACCCAGTACTAAGTGGTCCACGGTCTGGTACCACTCTGCTGCCCTGGGGTCGGAGACCACCGGTCTAGAGGGCCACATAAAAAGCTATGGTGGGCCAGATTTGGCCCTCGGGCCTTGAGTTTGACACATATATGCCATATATGATAATCTAGAGAACTTTTTCAATATCTATACATTTGGAAGTTAATTTTGGCTGTTTCGTCAAACATTTTATTTTTTTTTTATAGCGGAAAGAAAATGTATCATGAATAGATAACATGAAAAAGTAAAAGATAAAAACTAAAACTACTGATTTGTTAATCTTGTTGAAAGTTGGTTAGGATTGATTAAGCCTCGTTTTTAATGCTCAAAAATTGTCCACGAGTAACAGTTGTTATGTACTGGTATTGTTGTGGCTCGTTTATTGTTGTCATAGCAACCGCCTACCAAGATGGCTGCCAGTTAAAACAAAGAACGCTGTACTCTATATTTCCAGTGTGTTTTCTGGTTTGGTCACATGATCTGCAGACTGACAGAGTTTTAAGAAAACTTTCAATGGCGGCTAAAGCAGCAGGTCAATAGTGGTGGAACCAAACCAGCTCTGTCTCAACTGTTTGCTGAAAGAACATGGAAGATGGTGAGGAATGTTTTAATAGAGAGCCTCCATCCTCATGTTTCATCAGTTTGAACCTCTGGGCTGATTAAGGCCTTATTGTTCCTCTGGTCACTAAGAACATTTATTAGGCCTCATTTATTGACAGTACAATTATTATTCTTAACCAGATTAAAAGCATTTATCTGTGGAATGCTAAGTGTATGTATTGCTTGGTGCACATATTGTTGATATAGTTCAGGGATTCAAGGGATTTTATTGTCATACCACCACCGGCCACCAGGGGCTCCCCATCGTGCCCCAGCCCCAGGCCAGTGTGGCTCCAGGGTGGGACCTCATGTACGGAGAGAACAACCCCTGTTTCCAACGGTCGTATCATCATAAGGGATCTTTGGGCTGCACTTGGTCTGGTCCCTCACCTAGAACCGTCTGCACTGGGCAGCAGAACTCCTAGGATCACTGGGACACGCAAACCCCCCCACCACGATAAGGTGGCAGCCCATGGAGGGGACGTGTGTGTGTTTGTGTGTGTGTGTGTGTGTGTGGGGGGGGGGTGTGTGTGTGTGTGTTAAGGAAGTTTCTTTTTGGGGGCGATTTGCAGCGACCAACTGACCTGACCTGCATGTTTTAGGAGATGTGGGGGGAACCGGAGCGCCCTAACAATCTAATGTAAAAAAGATCATGTGTTTCTCTCCACCATATTTATTTATCTAACAATAATCTGTTAGTATGATTTGTTCTTTAAATTGCCATTCATATTATTTTTGGGTCTCAGGAGATGATTGATGGATGAAGAGACTCTGATGTCTGGTTCTTTAGGTTCTGACGGGTCTGCAGTTCCTCTCCTGATACTTTCGGTCTGATATCTCACAGCCCTTCGTGCATCACTGAATGTCACCGACACATTTTCTTTTTAAATCTCCCCTATTTAGCTTCACTGACATTGTTCATCCTGGGATGTGCGTCTTCCTCCTCAGATCTGTATTTCTGCCGGAGGTTTTGCTTCTAAGGACGGTTGAGAATAGGTGGACGTTTTAAAAGACGCGGGTTGATAGCAGCTCACCCCGGCTACGTTGTGTCCGTCTCTAGGTAATCATGACAACAGCGTCAGGGGGTCCTATTCAGTTCCCGCCACAACAATTTAGCTGACCTTAATATTTCCTGTGTTATGTTTTGGTCATTATTGTTGAGATATATGTGGCAGGTGGTGTGTCTCTCAGACATGTATAGAAATAGGGAGCAAATTGATGTCGGTTCAATACAACAATCAACAGTCAAATACGAGACGATTCTGTAGTTTATGGGACGGATTGCAACCCCAACAAGACAACAGCCACCTGTCATTGTAAGCTAGCTTAAGCTAACCTGAATATTTACAGCCCTCCTTTTGAGACACTGACGTTACTCACATATGTCCTTCAACCACTTTGAAAAGCTTTTCTTCATCCCTCTCCCTCTTCATTATTCTGTTCTGGATATTGTTTTCTGCCGCCCCATCTTTAGCTCCCTGTTGTCGAGTGTACTACCATTCAACTTTAAAAGAACCACAAAAAAGACGCTTCACCGTTTACTCAAAGGGCCGCCAGCCCAAAATACCTGCATATGTATGTGGGGAGAAGGTGGTGGGGATGCATGAAATTATCAGTGCCGTTCCTCTGTTATTGATCATTTCATGTATCCCGCTGTGAAATACAGAAAATGCCAACTATAAAAAGTTTTTCCACATGGCTTTTGCGTCCCTATAGTGCAGCGCTCTTATGTGTTGCTTACAGTGCATACCCACTTTTATCGCCACTGGTTTTATGACACGTCTCCAACTTTTCTGACGGGTTTAAGGCTCAGTTTTTCCAAATGTTGAAAGTAGAGGACCTTTAAGCTCCTCTTCATTACTGCTACCAGGATCTTTCTGTGGTGCTGGATGCAGAGTGTTGTTGATGAATGAAGACGAAACCAAACATCTGATCTTTTCCAGCAGCAAATAAGACTCTGGAAGAAAAATTACTGCACGATAGACGACCAAACATACAATTTATCACAATAATGATTAGAAAACTTTCAACATTTCTCTGTAATCAAGTTTCTTTATTGAAGAAGTCCAAAAATTCCAGAACAACAGACATTTTTTATGATATAAATCTAAAAATATGAAAAGAAGACAGAATCAGTTCTGATTTGATGTTTCAGGTTTTTTGGATCACAATATAGAAAACAGAATCAATTTCATATCCTTTGATCTCAACTGATTAACAACAAATAAAACATCAAAATACATGGATAAGAAAATTAAAGGAAAACCATTAAAGTACAGAGAAGTTTTCATTTTCATGAAATATTTCTGTGATAAGAATGAAAGAAATTATCAGCAGTGATTTCCTTCATTTCTCCTGTAACAAAAAGAACTAAATCGGAAAAATAAAGATCAGAAAATCAGAGCAGAAACATTAGAACCATGAACCCTGATCAACAATCTGAGAGGAAAGAGAAAATCTATCTGGGTTTACTGAACTCTGCTGAGGATCCAATCTTATTAATCCTAACTCCAGCCAGTAACGGCTCAGTGAATCTGGTCTGGACTCTGTGGATCAGAGTCATGGTTTCAGAGACGCTGTAGAAGGACAGAATACCTGCTGTGTGATCCAGGTACACTCCGACTCTGGAGGGACCTGGACCTGAGATGGAGGTCCAGATTTTGTCACCATATTCATAACTGGTTTGAGTACAATATAATGCCCAAGACTTTTTATTATATCCAAATTTACATTCATCCCCTCTTCCTGCTCTGCTGATACTCTTGTATGCCACTGCTACATAAACTGATTTCCCTCTCCACTCCACCTCCCAGTAACAACGTCCAGTCAAACTCTCGCTACTCAGAACTTGCCACCGTTCAGTGAATCTGTCTGGATGACTAGAATAAGTCTGATCCTGATTCATCCATGTCACCTTCCTGTTCCCCTCTGATAGTTCCAGCCGTGTGTTTGCTGTGTTTGGATCCAGAGTGATTTCACATGAATACCTTAAGAATTCAGCTCTGCTCTTTGGTTCTGGTTCTGACAGTAGAACATCCACCTTAGTGACCATCAGTGAGATGTTTGTCCATGAGTCTCTCAGGACGTCCTGTAGTTTGTCTCTGAGCTCTGACACAGCTGCTGCCACACCCTCAAAGTGTCTCAGAGGACGGATGTTGATGCTGGATGAGTGTGTGGACTCACTGAGTGCTGGCAGTGGGAGGTAGTTGAGGAGAAACTGGTTGTGATCCTCTGTGTGTGAGAACTGCTCCAGCTCAGCGTCTTTCCTCTTCAGCTCAGTGATCTCCTGCTCCAGCTTCTCCTGAACATCTTTGACTCGACTCACTTCAGTTTCCTGCTGGGATCTGATCTGCTGCTTCACCTCAGAGCTTCTTTTCTGGAGGAGTTGGATCAGCTGTGTGAAGATCTCCTCACTGTCCTCCACTGTTTTATCAGCAGAGCGATTGATGGCCTCCACCTCCTGCTGAAGCAGCTTCACATCTTTCTCCAGGTCCTGGATTCTCTCCTCCAGCTCTCTCTGCCTCTCAGTCCTTTCTGCTGCAGCTGACACTATTTCATGGCCTTTATGTTCATCCATAATGCAAACATAACAGATGCACTTCTGATCAGTGCGGCAGAAAACCTCCACCAACCTATCATGCTTAGAGCAGATGTTCTCCTGGAGGTTCTTGGACGGCTCCACCAGCTTGTGTTTCTTAAATGCAGCTGAATCAAAATGAGGCTGAAGGTGTTTCTCACAGAAAGAGGCCAGACAGACTAAACAGGACTTGCTGGCTTTCAGTTTTCTCCCAATGCAGGAATCACAGGCCACATCTTCAGGTCCAGCATAACAGTGGTCAGCAGGAGCAGCTTGGAGTCCAGTCTTCTTCAGCTGCTCCACTAAAGCTGCTAGCATGGTGTTTTTCTTCAAAACGGGCCTTGGTATGAATGTCTCCCTGCACTGAGGGCAGCTGTAGCTTCTTTTCTGATCTTCTTCATCCCAGTGATGTTTAATGCAGTTCATACAGTAGCTGTGTCCACAGGGAGTAGTCACTGGATCCTTCAGTAAATCCAGACAGATGGAACAGGAGAAAGACTCTCGGTCGAACTGATTCTGCTCCATTTCTGCTCTCAGTCACAGTGACTGTCTGAGTTTTATTTTCTGAGAACAGAAACTGGTTTGAATTCTTATGTATGAGTCACTTGTCAGAACAAAGATGCAGCAGCCAATCAGATTTGTCTCTCGGCCGATGTGTTTTCCACCCAGCTTCAAGGTGAAATAATCAGCCAGTTTATCAAGAACTTTCACTTTATTATTAGTTAGTTTGTCCTATTTTAAGTGTATCAGGACATTTGCACTTCTCAGTCTTTTCAAAAAACATTTGATTTGACTGTATATTTTTGCAGCATAGATGGTTCAACTATATATCTAAACTAGTTTTGAACAGTCTAATATTAAGTTTTGACTATCTTTGACGAAATCAGTTTCACTTTGACATTAAGGATTTTTTTGTCAATATTTTCAGAATAAGATCAATTTTGTTTATCATGATTGATTTGTAAAAGCAACAAAGAAGTGGAAAATAGTGTATCATATGTGTAAAAATGATGCATTTCTACACCGACAAATGCTGCCCATGTTTTTTGTTCATTCTTTTTGGAAAATGACCACAACCTGATGGTCAGATTGTGTCTGATCATAAAGCTCTATAACCATCAACCTTTTGCCATCTGTTTCCATTTCCTTCATTGAATGCATGAGAAACTTGAAAATAAGAGAAAATTGGATTTCAATCTGCGTATAATCTTGATGTCCTTTCTCAGAGAAACCTTCAAATTAACATGCTTAAGGAAATATTTAAGAACCCTTTGTGTCAGAGAGGAACTCGCAGGTTACTACGACTGTAATTATCTGCAGCATAGAGAGCAGGTTTACAATAAATCAGGTTTACAATAAATGCCATCTCTTCTGACAGGAAATCACTTGAACAAGTCATCAATCGTTCTTCAGGATAAACTGGGTTAACCAACCACTTCAGTCTCTTTGACTGAGACATGCAGGGTAACTCATAGAGTGCATTCATATTAGACCTTTTTAGTCCATTTTAAACAAACTCCAGTTCATTTGCATCCAAGGTCTGGTTTGTTTGTAGGTGCGTGAATCTATCATTGGCCTACGATGAGGAGCAAAAACCTCAACTATGGTCCACCTAAAACCCTAGATCTTGCTGTGGTTGAACTGAACTCTGGTGCAGTTTGAATACACCGGAGACCTCTCAAAAATGAGGAAGCAGAATGGGATTTCTGGGTAAATTCTGCCAAAAACTAACTACTAGTCTTTTACCAGTGAAAAAAGGGAATTATTCTTTTTTTACATTTTGAGAAGAAGAAAGTTGCGTTCAGTATTTTCCTGACAGGTTTTTATTTTGTTTTCTTCAGTGGTTCTTTTTGCAGCGTCCCCCCAATCAAGAAGAGGAGCAGGTCTTTCAAAGGCTTAGTCCATTTGACCCAGTGCTGTGTGAAACCAAACCACATCAGCTAAAAATGGGACAAATGTAACTTTGTGTCGTTAGACAGCTCCACAACATGTTAAGGTCACCACCAGGTGGATTGATGTTCTTGTGTTTCAATGCCCCATCTTTAGTTCTCCAAACATACTTTGTTGCCAAACATCTCTATCAAAGTCAATTGTCTTGTCAGTCCAGTTTGAAGGTGTCTGTTTTGGAGGAAGGCACTTTGTTTTGTTTTTTTGTTGGTGCTTGGTGTGTTCCCCTTCTTACCAATCTAACAGCAATAGTTTGGCTCTTGTTCCAGATCATGGTGACATGTTAATAATCTGGTGATGCTTGAGTTTCTAAACTACTCCAGAAGACTTACCTTTACTTCTCTTTCTTGGACCATCCCAGGATGCCCCATTGTTCTTGATTGACTGTTTAATCCTGTCAATGAGAAAGCAGCTCGGTTTTGACCAATTAGAATATGTTCTTATTAAAATATATTGATAAATGTGTGTATATTTGTGCTTGAATGCATAATTTTGGGACATTTTACAATAAATTCACCCAGTTATTAATCTTAATGCCCATGTTGTGTTGAATTTATCACGTTGATGTGGATCTTCCTTCTCCACCGTCACCCTCAGGTGACTTCAGCCGTTTTTCTGACTGAGTCGCTGAATTTCTGAACGCCTCGTCTCTCTTCACAGCTAATCTGACGGAAACTGAACGTCCAGCAGCTTCTGCACTCTAATTGTGTTCAGTGAGCTGCGAGACTCTCAGCTCAGCAAACAGCTTCACTCGGCATCAGCAGAAGGCCTCAGAGGTTTGGTGCTCATTTCCGTCTCTCCTGGGGTTTTGTCGTCTCCTCTGCTGTTCTTGGGGGTTGATTTGGCTGTTATCAGTTTAGATTAAAGTTATTTTTGTTTGCTTTACCAGCTTGTGCGAGTCAGAATTACAGATATGGTTTTTTGTTGCATCAGATAATTTTGTTTAACCTCTTGACTGATTTTGTTTAACAGAAGAAATAACTAAATGGGTTCATTGGCAGTCAATAAAATGCCTGTAACTCCTCCTACGCCTGCAAACAGCCTTTGAAATGTCATCCTGCAGGAAATTTAAATGCCGCAAACAGGTTTTATCTGATCAGGCTCAAAACTCTCCGGATCGGCAAGTACAGCAGATTTTACACCTGGAACTACTTGGCATACGGTAAGTGCAAATGTTTTAAAATAAATTTAACTTAGAAATCAAACTCCTGCTCAATAGGTTGGTGGATTAATAATCGCTAATTGTTGGTTTGAACCTTTGATTTACAGACAAATTTGGGAATTTCGTATAATATGTTCCATAGTTGGTTAATAGTTGGTAAATAGAGATAAATTTCACAATATATTGACATAATGTTGGGTTTGTCCTTCTGATTTTGTTATGTAGCTATTGGAAATGTTCACATATGCTGATGACACACTGATTTTATTAGAGCCCACCAGCTGGCGTTCACTGCCTGCACTTTTTAATCCTGTTCAGCTAAACTTATGTGACAGAAAATCGGTTTCAAACTCAGCGAAAACAAAACTTCTCTCATTTTATATCAACATTTAAGCTTTTCTTGCACAGATTGATGTTTAAGGTAATCTTTTAGTTGTGTGAATGTTTCTATGAAGCATTCCACCCGAGTCCTGGCCTAAATCTGAGAACCTGCTGCAGTCGCTAAAAATTAGGGCAATGTCACGGAAGCATTCCAGGCTGAAAACTGTCAATCATAAGGTTCTGACAGATGTAATGCAAATGAACTGTTTTCTTTTGAATATGAGGAGAAAGATGAATTATTTTCCACATCCACCTTTTGTTTAAAATATAAATAAAAACAGAGGCTGTAAATGTTTGTCACTTTAACTCGCTGGGACTTTATAGATGTGACTCGTTCTGTTGGTGGAAATTTTTCTGAAGTTTTTATTTTACTAGCATGCTGTATTTGTCTTTTCAGATCAAAATGAGGCTTGAAGCTTGTAAATTTATTTAGATTCATGCCTTTCAAAACTTGTTTTTAATTCCTCTAATTAAAAATCCAGATCCACCAACTGTCTTCAGAAGAAAGACAATTCATAGAACAAGCTAAATTTGGTTCTAGAAAGTTTCATACAAATGCATTCCACACTTTTCAGATTTTTTTAATTTATATTTTCATAAAATATGTATAATTTTTCTGTAGAAATATGCACCATTTTATAATGATAGATGAAAATGATAATTAACAGTGTGTTTGTGTGGACTGGATTATTTCACCTTGTTCTATGCATTTATTTTATTTATGCAGTAAATAAAATTTTAACATGAGAGTTTTTGTAGAAAATGTAAAATTGTTGATTTTAAACTCAATCTTCTGAATTTGGCTCTGTGTATGGTAAAAATTTTGCATATTTTACCGTAAATCGCCAGAATTTGCGTTATTGGCTCTAAAAACAAAACAGTCAGTGCAGCGTGATGAGCCTCAGGAAGCTTTATAGGCGCTAAAATTAAAAAGCAAAGAAGCTGAATGGAGGAACGAATGTAAAAATGTGTTGTTGAAACGTTTGTGACTGCAGGAAACCATGGCGTCGGTATCCAGCAGCTCGCTGCTCAACAAGGCGGTCCGGCAGCAGTACATGAGCCTGCCTCAGGGCGGGAAGTGCCAGGTCACCTACATCTGGGTGGACGGCACCGGAGAGGGGCTGCGCAACAAGACCAGAACCCTGGACTCAGAACCAACCAGCATCGAAGGTAAACATCGTTGTTTTATTAATCGTAATAAAACATAAGAAAAGCAGATATGTTAAATAAGTGCAGGAAGTAATGAAATTATAAGGTAGACATTAATGAACTCGTTCAGGTCTTCCAGTACTATAATTATGTTATTTATATTACTATTACATAAATGTATTTAAATAAATTATTAGGCAAGTTATGACAACATATGTGCATATTATAAAAAATATCTCAAAAATATTAATAGCAATTAATTCACTTATATAATGTAATATTATTACAATGTATACTATAGTAAACAGTCAATAATATTGATCTTTCTAAATTATAAAGCTTGATAATTGTTTAATTATTAAGCTTTAATTTCTTCTAAGAGTTAGAAGAAATTATTACAATTTGATAGTGTAAAAATTTTATATATATATATATATATATCTTTGTCAACTATTACATGTATTTTTAAAATTTTCCAGCATACTCTAAGATTTAAATTATATCTGAACCTAGGTTATTAAAACAGAAGGATGGCAGCCATCTTAACAAGATGGAATATTTTCTATTGTCATTTTGCAGATCTTACTGGGAACCCAAATCACGTTTGACAAGTAAATACATTTTGTGCCACTTCTGTTAGTATTGTTTTCATGACATCAAAGGAAACTTATTAATATTTTCTTGGCAGTAAATGTGGATGGATTCTTTCAGCAACATTCCTTCTCTTTTCTTTCTCAGTTGATCAAAAACTTGATTATTTTCCGTGGCGTCAGCGCTGTGGAGAATGCTACAAATCCAGTTTTGCGTTCACTTCACCCTACATGTGTCAAACTCCAAATCGTTTTATGTTTTCAGGCTGGATGTTTATTTTGGGTTCATTGATAAGTGATCACTGTGGTTGATTAACTCATTTAAATACCTGCTGTACTGATGATGTGTCAGAGTTGGTGTTCAAGTCGCTTTATTATATTTTTTAGCTGAACTGAAACACAAAATTCCACAGCACATCTACATTAAGCTTGCCATAGTCAAGCTAGCATAACTGAACTGCTTCCCTCTTCCTCACAGTTTTTTTTTCTCGTAATTAAAACGTTTTCTTGACCTCGTTATCTTGATGTTGACAATTACTACAAAGCACTTTTATGTACCAGATGTACATTTAAGATTTAGCACCTTATGTTGACAACTTAACAGCTAAAACCAAAGCTAGTCATCGTTAGCAAGTATCTACTTGCACTTCAGCAGAGAGATGGGGGTGGGATCTTATGTGCGCAGTGTAACGCTTTCTCTTCTCCTCATCAGAAATCCCAGAGTGGAACTTTGACGGGTCGAGCACCTACCAGGCCGAAGGCTCCAACAGCGACATGTACCTCATCCCAGTCCGCATGTTCAGGGATCCCTTCACCCTTGACCCCAACAAACTCGTCCTCTGTGAGGTCCTCAAATACAACCGCCTTCCTGCCGGTACATTCCCCTCCGTTTGCATTTGGAGAAATGAGCTGTGCTGCATCTCATTCGGTTCCTTATCTGTCAGAAACCAACCATCGCCACAGCTGCAACCAAGTGATGCAGCAGGTGAAGGAGCACCACTTGTGGTTCGGCATGGAGCAGGAATACACCCTGCTGGGGACAGACGGACATCCGTTCAGCTGGCCTCCGCAGGGATTCCCAGGACCACAAGGTGAGGCAGCGATGCAGAAAATCTTACATGTATTTTACTAGGATTTCATGATATTTTAGGTAAAAATGTGTTTATTTCATAAAGTACAGTAAAGTTTCTCTTTTATATTGAAGAAAAAAGAAAAGTTTAAAATTTGCATATTAAGTTGAGTAGCACTGCCTCAACATATTTTTACTCAAGTAAAACGTATTTGGTAAAACAGCTATTCCAACTGATCAAATTACTAATCATTTAATATTTCAAAATTACATAATCTGACAGGTCAAAATATAAAGCTAAGTGGAAATTTTGGTGCTTTAAAGACCAAAATGATCATAATTCATATAAGTAACTAAATCAGTTTCCTTTATGAAAAAATCTTCAGAAACTTTAACAAAACCTGCAGATGTGTCTGAATTTTTGGCTAAAACATGTTTGTTTTTCATTCAGTGGGGAGAAAATCTTAAACTGTTCAGTAAGGATAGAGATACTTTAAAATAAATCACCCAAACTACAGCGTAGTACAAATACTCCTAAAATATTTTATTTCAAAAAAGTCACTGAAGTAAATGTACCGAGTTACTAGCCAACTCTGGAACTATGTTTATTTCTTAAAACCAGTGTATTAGTTTTGTTTCACATTCACATCTGTCTAAAATGAAACAGTCAAAGCAGGCATCTCATAATTTTCTATGGTCAAAGAAACAAACTTTGCAACATCCTGATGTTACAAGAAAGGAAAAAATAAACCAAATCAATGTTTTTCCTTTTTGAGCCACTTTAGTTTTACAGTTTTGGTTTGTCCTCCACTCTAAGGCCCGTATTACTGCAGCGTCGGCGCGAACCACGCGTACGGACGGGACGTCGTGGAGTGCCACTACAAAGCCTGCCTCTACGCCGGCGTCCAAATCTACGGCACCAACGCTGAAGTCATGCCATCTCAGGTGGATCAGCAACCTGTGAAAACAATCAAACTGAATTATCAAGTTGTTTCATTGTTTCCTTTAACTCAGAGGTGTCCAAACTGCAGCGCGTGGGCCATTTGTGGCCCTTTCACTGATTTTGTGCGGCCCTTGGTCACAATTCAAAAATGATACAAACTGATATAGACTTTTATTTTGTAATAAGGGTAAAATTATTACTGATATAACGTAAAGAACAACAAAACTTGTTTCTGTTTTTATAACCAGCCATGTTTACCAAGACACTTTTACTGAAAAGGTGACTTTGATGCACCCAAATAAGTTTTAATTTAATTTATTAAACTTGACTAAATACAAAATAGGGATTTGAAAGACAAAATAAATTTTTTCAGAGGCACATTTCAAACTGAAAATGTGCTAAATTAAGACGATTCATAAGAAAAACGAAGGAGAAAGTTTCCACCTCAAAATCCTGAAATTTTTAGATCTGAGAAATTTTCTACAAAAAAACTTGCAGACGTTTTCAGACTCGGAAAATTTTGAAATGTGAGCGTTTTTGACATTTTTCTAGAAAATATAATAATTTGCTTTTGCTTTTATTTCTAGCAAAATTCTAACTTCCCATTTTCCCCCCCAGAACATTTGTGAATTTGTGGGAAAAAACTTTTTTGTTTTGTTTTTTCAAATCTACATAGGCCCTAATTCGTCATTCCAAAAATCCCTGTCAGGTTTTGGATGTACAGTGACTGATTTTATTGACTTTGACACAAAGTTTGGACGCTCCTGCTGTAACGTCGCTGTTTCCCTCTCCAGTGGGAGTTCCAGGTGGGTCCCTGCGAAGGCATCGAGATGGGCGACCATCTTTGGGTGGCGCGCTTCCTGCTGCATCGTGTGTGTGAAGACTTTGGCATCGTCGCCACTCTGGACCCCAAACCGATGACAGGCAACTGGAACGGCGCTGGCTGCCACACCAACGTCAGCACCCAGCAGATGAGAGAAGAAGGAGGACTGCAGTGAGTGGATATTTATAAACACATGATTATTTACTTTGTCATGAAGCTAAAATATCTATTCATAGCAACAAAAATGTGTTCATGTGGATGTTGGAATTGTTTAAAGTGGTATATTTGCCTATAAAGTGCAAAATAAAAACAAAATTTTAGTTAGAAAATCCTGTTTCAGTCATAGTTCACTGTAAAAACACAAAATCTTCCCAACTATTTTTAGGCTAGTTTCTAGTGCAAACATTTCTCTACACTTAAAATTAGACAAATCTAACTCACAAATAGCTTCTCAGCAAGAAATAGGAGATTAATAATTTAAGTTCTAATTTCATTGGCAGGTTATTTCATAAGGCAGTTTTCCCATGTTATGAATGAAAAAATCTGCCAGTGGAATAAGAAGTTTTTGCTTTAAAAAAAATTAATTTTAAGGAATTATTGACTTAAACAAACTGAAAAGTCACTTGTTAGTTTTGTCTTATTTCAAGTGCTTTGAAATATTCGCAGCAGGCAAATATACTTGGTAACATTTTGTGTTTTTTTGCAGCGTTGAAGTGAGAATCACAAAAAGCTGAATCCTGTCATTTGGCCCAAAAATGACACTCCTCTTTTATACACTTGAAATTAGTTTTACGTCATTTAAAAAATGTCAAAAACCAGATTAAGTTCATTTTTTAAACTTTAATCTGTTAAAAGTAGGTTAATTCTTCAGATCAATGCTGAATTTTAATTTCATTAACATGTACCCCTTTTAAAAGCCCAAACATCCTCATGTCTTTCTGCTCTCCCTCTCCTGACAGGAACATTGAGCAGGCCATTGAGAAGCTGAGCAAAAATCACAAGAGGCACATCGAGGTGTACGACCCGCATGGCGGAAAGGACAACGTGCGGCGCCTCACGGGTCTGCACGAAACCGCCAACATCGAGGACTTCTCCGCCGGCGTGGCCAACCGCGGCGCCAGCATCCGCATCCCGCGGCAGGTAGGCAAGGACAAGCGGGGCTACTTCGAGGACCGCCGTCCTGCAGCGAACTGCGACCCCTACGCAGTTACCATGGCTATTGCTCAAACCTGCTTCCTGGATCCAACGGAAGAAAAGAGCAAGAAGGAGGAGTTAGCTTAGGCCGCGTTCACACTGCAGAGTGAAGTGAGACAAATATGATGTTTTTTTGACTTGCGGATGTTCAAAGTACGGTCCGGGGGCCATTTATGGCCCTTGGACTGATTTCATGCGGCTCCAAATGTGTATTTAAAAAATTATTTGGTTGATAGATGCAGACTGAGACTTTTAATTTATAATAAGGGTAAAATGATTATGGATATAATTTAGTACAATGGAGAATGTAAAGTAAAACAGTGTTTCTGTTTTATAACAAACCATGTTTACCAACAAACTTTTACTGAAAAGCGACAAAATTAACTTTGATTTAATTTAGGAAAGCACGATACATCGACATCAGCATCTGTATCGGCCGATATCAGCCATTTCTTTTTTACATATTGATATCGGTCCGATTAATAAACAACTCATATTTATTTTGAACTGTTTCTGTTTGGGAGGTTTTTCCAAAGGTGTCAGAACAGAAGTAAAATGCATTTAATATCAGCTATCAATCATAAAAGAAATACTGATATCGGATATCAATATCAGCCCAAACGTTTGTTTCGGTGCATTCCTAATTTAATTAATTAAGCTTAACTAAATATAACAAATGTTTTAAAAAAATAATCACCCATATCTGGTTCTTATTACTGAAAATAAATTTGTTCATTCAAGACAAAAACAAATGGAAAATTAGATGCTTTTCTTTAAATACAGCAAACATGAAAAATATATGATGGCGCATTAGAAAAAAAGTAAAAAGGATAAATACATTTCCAAAACAAAACTTTGACATAAGCAGCAGCTTAACATTTTATTTGATAAAATAATGTTAAAATCTGAAAAAACTAAAACCTGCAAATAGATTTAGAAAATTCTGTCAGCCAAAATGATACAAACACTAAATATGTTTAACCTGTTTAACAAAAACAGTGAAAAAGTGGCGTGAAATGAAAATAAAACGGCAATAAATTTAATCCAAATGTGATGAAAAAGCTTGATGGCACAAAAATTCACCAGTCTACAGAATAATGATAAGAAGAAACAGAAATCAAAAGCACTAGGAAAACGTGAAGCATGCAAATTAAATAACAGGGATGCAAAAGATTCATAAAGAGGATCTGAAAACAAAGATGCAACCAAATGAGCCTGCAAAGTGGATTTGAATGGAAACAATGAGAAACAGATGAGAAAGAGTAGAAATATAAACAGAATTAATTTATTTATTGTTGTTTCAGTATCTCTTCCTGTAAGCAGCCATCTTTGTTTTAAATGTAAACTAATCATAGAAGAAGAGCTCGACTTAGATGATTGTGTTTGTATTGCTTTCACAAAATAAGTTTGCCTGTTTGAAGTGGATTAAAAGTTAATTTGTTCATTTGTTTCTCTGACTCTGTACAAAACAAATAAGAATCCATTAAACATCTGGTTAAAGTTGTGTTTTCTTGTGTTGGTTACTTCAAATGTTCTGAAATATCGGGGAAAAACCCAACTGCACCTTACTGGTGAGACATGATTGGAAGATGTATGGGGCTAAATAATGGACAATACTAAATAAAGAAAAGACTGTAAAAAGCCTTGAAATTTAAAGTCCAGAACCATTAAAGTTTGTGTTTGTAAAAAGTTTCCAGTGAGAAAATTACTTCCTTAGCCAGTATTCAATACCTCCAGTTGTACACTAGATGGCGGTGTTTGGTTTTCTCATAATCACAGCCCAGTAAATGGACCAATAAGTCAGTCCGAATTATTTGCAAAAACTCAAAACAGCTCATCATCCCATAAAAAGGAATGTTTCACAGTGACAAGCATCTAAACATAGAAAAGAAGACTCTTGGTATTGAGTTTTCATAGACGTAATGAATGAATGAGGTAATCTAATCTTGATCATTGATCCACGTCAGCGTGATGAATGGCAATGGTAACATTTTACCTCATTGGTTGCCTCACGGCATCAACACAATTTGCTATTCAATCTGTTTCAGGGAAATGTTTTCGGTAAGTAAACATTAAAAAAGAATCTCAAGGCAATTAAAATGATTCCTTAGATTAGATTAGTGGATAACAAACAATACATTTTCATGGAAATAGCTTGCTTGAGTTTTCGCTTGAGACAGGAAGCCTTCAAATACAGAAAAATAGACTTTTTAGGTACTTTCAAATTTTTGTGGTCCATTTTTTGATTATGGCACAGCATATTTCCAATTTAATTAAACAAACTAAAATAAATAGTTACTTTAGTATTTGAAAATTAAGTCATGGTCAACTTTAGGAGGGTGTTCACAGGGGTGATTGACAGCACTAAGACTTAAAAGAATTTGGAAAAATTTTATTTTCCTTGATTTGGTGATATGAATTATTATTTTTGTCCTTAAAATACCAAAATATCCACACATTAAATGTTAAATAATGTATACTTTGATTGATTAATCAGTAATTGAGTTTACCAAATACTTTTTTTAGTTGAATCATTTTTTGGTTGGCTACTTTTTACTTTTACTTGAGTGAAACTTTAGCACAATTTTAACATAATTTAGCACTAGGAGCTTTAATAATAATAAATTATTTCAACATACCTGTTGCCTCTTTAGTGTAATGTATCTGTGTTTTATAAACTTCGATGTTAATTGTTGCTAACTTTACCATGCTATACTTTTAGCTGTTAGCCCGCCAGGAATCGCCTTTTTGCTGCCAAAATGTTGTCTAATATGTGTAAATATGTGATTTATCCAGTATCCGTTTTATTATTATAACTTTTAAAAACAGTTTAAGGTACATGACCGGGGCTGCGCTTCGTAAGTTTTGACGTTTTAGGGAAAATATTGGTAAAAATTAGCATGGGTTGCCAGCCGTTTGTTAGAGGGCGCGGTGACGTCACGGGTTGCCATGGCGGGAGGGTGGGCTCGCGGCGCGGCGCGGCGCGGCGGCTCAGTCAGACGCGGAGCAGAGAAGTACCGGAGCGGAGCTATGGGGAAGCTACAGGAATTTGACATCACTTTTGCCAACAACAAGGTGGTTTACGGTCCGGGGGAGTCCATTAGCGGAACCGTGAAGATCCGAACCGGCAGCGCTCTGCAGTACAGAGGTAACGAGTTCGTTTTGTGGCACCAAGCCGGGGAGACAGGAAGAAGGTGTTTAACGTGCCTGCGCCTCCTTCCTCCTCTGCTTCGGGGCTTGGATGTCGCTTAAACTTTCCCCCACTGTGGTTAAAAATTCACGAGGCGTTTATTTAACCTGTTAACCGGACGTCACGCATTGGTGCGGCGCTGCCGTCGTTGCCCCTCGGTGGCAGCGCGCCGCAGGCTGCGTGGTTGTTTAGGTGACTTGTGCCATCCTGAACCACATCCTGCTTGGTCCGACGCGCTGCTGACTCGGGTCTGCTGCTCGAAAACACCGAGGAGAAGCGAAAAACGCGCCTGACAACAGGTGTCCACGCGTTCAAACGCCTCATTTTTACCGCATCCGACAGTTAAAGGTCAGGTTTTCTGTGCGTAAATGTTGTCGCGTCGTATTTATGCGGGGAAAAATAAGTAAGTAAGTGAATGTAGTGGAGAACAACGAGTCCATTGTGCAAGTGATCCTGTGGGGGATTCTCCTCTAACAGTAACAACACCCTGCTGTCTTTATCTCAGGGTGTTCAAAGTGCGGTCCGCGGGCCATATGTGGTACTTGACTGGTCTTGTGCGGCCTCCAGCATCAGTTAAAAAATAATACAAATGTGCATATCACAGTGGAAAGTGGAAAGCAGCACAAAGTGTTTATCCAGAGACTTTTACTGAAAAGGCCACCAAATCAGCTTTGATTGACTTTATTAAACTCGACTAACGTTTTGAAAGAAAGTGACCCAAATCCTGTTCTTATTACTGAAAATAACTTTGCTCAACTGAGAAATGCAAAACCTTCTGCTTTTCTTAAAACACAGCAACAATAGCTAATGTTGATTTTTGTGATTATTTTTGACTCTCTCAAACTTTTAATTTCTAATTAACCTTAAACTCCTGAACTGGATTTCTAAATATCCAGAATAAATAAACTAAACAACCAATAAAATGGATACAACCATTTTTTTTCAAATGCTCTATATCAATAATGTCGCAATAGGTTATTTAGGAAATTATTAAGCATTATTTGCATGTGCTGCACTTGAATGCTGCAGCAAAGCATTCCTTTGCAACCGATTGATGGATGGAGGAGCTTTTATCGCTAACATGAAGGTTTGGAGTTGGGTAACCATTACTGGGACTTTAACTGGAAATGTAGCAAACACTCCAGGAGGGTTTGGCAAAAATTAAATAAAAACCAAAGGTGAATATGTGGATAACAACTCAGGCTGATTGAGTACAGTGGAGGATCTGTAATGCTGTGGGCCTGTTTTCTCTTCTTTGAAAGAGAGAAAGCATTCCAAACAAAAGGTTTGATGTAAAATAATAGTGAGATTATACAACTGGGATTAAAAAATCTATTTTATATAAATCTTCTCAATTTATAAATTCTGATTTACTCCAACTCGCTTCTTTGCATGTTAGTGTGGCTCAGTTTTAAGTAGTCTGTCTGAAGAGTCAGCTGGGCTTTCAGGTCGGTCCGATAATGTTCTGGAAATGCCACGGCTGCATTATGTCCGATCTGACGTCGCAGTTATCCATCAGCAGCAAAGTGGGAAAGTCTGTCTTCCATAAAGGCATAATTACACCTTTGCTTATGGGAAGTCAAGCTCGGTTAAGTTAGCATTTCTTTTGTCAATTTTTAGAGATTTTTTTTTTAAATCACAAGTTTACATCTGTGTTTGACTTTAATCAAGCATTTTTTTTGTCTTATCATAATTTGTTGTAGTTTTGGGCCATTCCCATTGTTAGGACTGGTGTAACTGGGCCAGGCTAGTTAGCCACCTTCTTGTACACACCTTCACAGGTGAACCCAGAGAGTGCTGCTTTTTAACTAAGGTTGAATTTATGTTCAGTCCACTTTAATCGAACCAGTTTGTTTATCTAGAAAGTCCAGTTCGTTTGGGCTGGTGTGAACGCAAAATTGGACCAAGAAAAGTGAACTCTGGTCTCGGTTCTGTTGAAGTGAACTGCGGTTTGAATGCATAGTGAACACCAAGTGGACCAGAAACTGCTCCAAGATCAGGAAGTGAACTACAGTGCAGGGCATTATGGGTAAATGCAACCAAAACAAACATGCTAACTAGCGCTAGTGTGAAAATGTGTTGTTATTTTTTTTACCAAGGACAAAAGAGAAATCCTGCAACCTCTAAAATCTGACAGCACTCCATTTTTCTTCACATTTGTGAAGAAGGAAGTTCCATACATTGTCTTCTTCAGAAGTTTTCATGCAGCGCCCCCACAGGTGAGGAGGGGAACAGCTTTTTCAAGGGGTTTGGTTTGTTTGACACAAGCTGAAAAAGTAACAAATGTTGCAACTTTGGTGTCCAATCAAACCGACTCTACCAGACTATCAGGTGTGAAAACACCATAAATTAACTCTGAAGAGAATTTATGTATTTAATTTTCAGCTACTAAAGCTGAAAATTGCAATTATGTTATCAATTATTGATTTTTCCCTATAGACCACTCTAAAGGTACAAGTTAGTTCTTCACCAGTCCCTCTTGCGTCACAACACCCCACATGATGCTGCCACCACCGCACTTCCCTGTTGGGACGATGTTCTCAGGCTTGAAAGCTTCGCCTCTCATAAACCAGAAACTTTATCTTCAGAAATGACGTCAGAGTTCATGTTGCTTCTTCCTCCCTGAGCGGCATTTCAGCCCACGTAGATAAAACCCATGTTTCTCTGTGAATTACGTCTGTTTTTTAAATAATTGATCAGTTTTTTGGTGTTTCTGCACCTCTGCAGTCAGAAATCACTCTGAATCAGTCCTGACATAGACTGGAGATCAGGGTAGTGTCATATTTATTTACACCACAGTGAGTTTGATGAAATAAATACAGGTGGATATTAATAAGAAAGTGCAGCTTCTTAAAGTGCTGAATGTTTCCGATGCGCCGCTCTCAGCCTGTCTCCATTATTGATGATGGAAACCATTAGAAAGCATTTCTATTGATTGGCTCCTCCATAAAAACATCACAGCAGAGCCTCGAGTCTTTGGACAAAACGCGGCGAATAGTTCAGGACGTGTTTAAAAAGACGCTTTGATGAACTTTTTCTGTCTTGAGCGAACAGAAAACAGTTGGAAAGAGTGTAAAGCCTCCGGGATCAGCGCCGTACCTTTGTGATTGGAGCTGATAAAAACGCAACGTTTCACGGAGAAACAGGAAGTGAGTCAGGCCATGAAGCTGCTGCTCCTTCTCTGTGTCATGGAAAGATACAGTTGTTGTCCGGGGAGTTTATGACCTTGAACGCGCTGTAAAACCGAGATGTCGGTAAATGTTGATCAAAAGGGTTCAGCGTTTGATTATCCAAAGCCCACAGAACATTAGATTGATGTTTTAATAATAATGTATTGAGAATAGAGAGAAACCCATTAGGAACAAACTGTGTGTCTTTGTGATGGGTTTTTCCTAAAGGAGACATAAGTATTATTTCTATATTGAAGCTCTTATTGCTTATATAGATGTACAATATGAACTTAAAGGTTCATCACAACAAAAAGTGATGATAAAAAGTGTTTAAAAACCTTTATCAGTCTTTTTTGGCATTAGGTTTAAGATCCATAAACACAAATACCGCTGTGATAAAGATAAACCTCGCCAAAATAAAGCAATTTAAAGGTGATTGAATAGTGCAGCAGTCTAATTTATCACAGAATAATTTCATTTAGTTATATTTTTAAAGTTAACGTAATTTGTTGGTTCTGTTATGGAGCCAACAGTGGAAAAAAATCCCAACAACACACATTATAATCTGGAGTTTATTCTGTGACAACAGAATTTACAAAAGAAAAACCTGATATGACGTCACAGCGACAAGTTAGAGAGACAAAAAGTTTCCATCGCGACTAAAAGAAAATGATATTCCAGTTACTAAAGGAACGTGTCGAGTTTTAGCTTAGCTGGGTTGAGCGGTAAAAGCCTTTCCTCTGCCTACATCTCCCACAATGCTGTGCGGTTCTGGATCAAAGTTCGGTCGATATTCTGTCAGGCATATTAGCTATTGATATTGATCACGTATCTGTTGTTAAACATGTTGATTTAATGTGAGCGCGCTCTTCTAACTTGCAGCTTTTTCTGGTATTTTCTCTCATGTTTCTTTAAGTAGCTACAACAGAGCAGGACAATTTTTTATTCCGTTTCTACATCAATTGTCAGAATAATCAATACTCAATTACTAAAATAATCGTTTACACTTTTTTCAAACAAAAAAATAAATTGTTGTCGTCCAAGTCTGGAATTGGCAGATTGAGTTTTTTAAATATCGGTGATCAGCCGGATTAGTGCAGCTCTGGTTTTTAAAAGCAGCTCCTTTTTGACAGTTTTCTCCACTGTCGCCCTGTGCTTTGTGAAAGTAAAGGTTCTTATTCTCCTCCATGTAGCAGCTAAAGGAGCTAAACACTGGCTAACTCAGTGGGCTAATTAAACATTCATGTTTCGCACGTGGAGTTTTGAGTCACACTGACTTTGCTTTTGTGACTCTAAGCTTCTGAAATGCTGCGACTTTAACTCGTTGGCGTTCCCCCCCCACAGCGCCGGGCTTCTCTTTTTTTGTCTGGCGTGATTCAACCTCACTGGAACCAGCGTCTGCGGGTCGCTGAGTCACATGACGGCTCGACCCAAAAGCACAGGATCTGAAAACGGAGCAACTTTTGTTCAGGCATGTCTGCCCTGGAGAAAACTGGAGAGAAACTGAAACATTTTCATGCTGCAGCTGTTGGCGATTCGGGTCGGTTAAACGCACCTGGTTGATTTGAAGGGAAACCCTAAAATCAAGCAGTTTGTTTTGCTTTTGTTTTCAAAAGCAAAACAAAAGGGGATTTTCATGATCATCGCAGATGAAAAAGAAAAGTACATTCCTGGAATAAAACGGGGAAACTTTTGAGTTTGAAAAATTGAAAATTTTCTTGATAAATGTAAGAAGTTTTCAGGTTAAAGTTTGAAATGTTATAAAAAATATCAAAAACTTTTGTCTTTTGTAATTTTTCTGATTTTGAAAAGTTGAAAATTTGCTTGAAAAAAAAATTCTTACATTTTGAGATAAAAAATTTTCTAGAAATTTGTTTACAAATTTTAAACTTTTGTGGTTTCTCAAAAGTTAAAAATTTACTAGAAAAAATTTGAGAAATTTTTATATTAATCTGAAACTTTCTGGAAAGAAACATCAAACTTGGCTTTTGGAATTTTTCTCAGTTTGAAAAGTTGAACATTTCCAAGTTTTTTGGTAGAAAGTTTCTGAGATCTCAAAATTTCAGAATTTTTGTCTTGGAAACTTTCTTTTTCTTTTTTTTCAATGTACCATCAGAGGTTTTGCACATTTGCTATATTTAAAGAAAAGCATCTGGTTTTCAGTTTCTCTTGGGGTCAATTGAACAAATTTATTTTCAGTAATAAGTGCAGCATTTGAGTGACTTTCTTTCAAAGCATTTGCTATATTTACTCAAGTTCAATAAATTAAATCAAAACTACATCAAAGTTCCCTTTTCAGTAAAAGCTTCTGGATAAACGTGGTTTGTTTCAAAAACAGAAACACTTCGTGTTGTACTTCACACTTTCCAGTGGAAGAAAATTACAAATTAAGTCATCCACATCTATCGGCTAAATTTATAAAATTTCTGAGTTGCAGCTGGGGGCCCCACAAAAACCATCCAAGTGCCACAAATGGCCCACGTGCCGCACGTTGAACACCCCAGATATCAACTCAGACTTGATGTTGGATTGTGAATGAAAACGCGTCGCAGATTGAGCCACTTATGGGCCTTTAACTCATCATTATTCAGGTTTCATAAATCACAGCTGGATCTCGTCCCAGAATCGTTTCCGCTCCTGAACCTGAGGCGGCGTTAAATGGTGGACAGGAAACGTCATCAGGCTGTAAATCAGGCAGCTGGAAAAGTGTGAGAGTCACAATCATAAGTTATAAACGATGTCCCTGCTCTGGAGGAAATGAAATATGACAATTAATTCATGGCGCATATGGATCTACTTATCAGAAACCAATATATTCACTAATATGTTTACTGCTGTGCATTTTGATGAGCCCGGCTTACAGCGAGTGAAACCCAAAGTGCAGTTTGTCAGATAAATATTACAATTTATTTAAAATTAAAGTACTTACATTTTAAATGTTAAAAATATTTAGTTTAAGGATTAAAGACTTAATTTAAATATCAGTTATTACTAAATGTTTAAAAAGTGCTGTCTCTAACTATATTAATGGAAAGTTGAGTGAAAGCATGAACTCAAATGGTGTACAAAATGCTTCTTTGATCATTATATATTTTGTTAAGCCGATACTTTAAAAGCTCCTGCTCTTTCTGAAGCTCCGCCTCCAGGAAATCATCTCAACATGGCTCCTCTATTAACCCTTTAAAGACATTTTTTACAGCGTTAAACTGAGAAGTAGCTCCTATAATGACGTCAGCTGATACGCTAATAGCTGCTGGCTAGTCTGAAGGAGCTGAGCGGGGAGGAGCTTCGTCCTAGAAGGCGGGGCTAGGCCCGTCCAGGCGTTTTGCACAGCTGATGATTGCCATGGAGATTAAAGGATTTCTCAGACATTAATGAAAAACTCAAAGCAACGTCCATTTTTGTTTTTGATGATGGAAAAACTTTATAACGAGCTGAAAAATGTAGATTTTTTAAAAATGCTTCCCCTGTAAACGAGACGCTGCCTCTGAATGTTAGGTCCCGGCGACCCGGTCGCGCTGTCCGGGCTCAGGAATGTGGGATCCGATTACACAGAGGCCGAGAGCGTCGGTGGGCGGGGAGAACCGACTCACATGTGCTTCGTCAGTCGGCCGGAGGCACCGGCACCAGCTGCCGCCGCTCCTCCCTGCAGATAGAGCCGTTTTAATCAAGCCTGACCTCTGACCTCCACAGGCCAGGGCCTGTCTGACACCACAGCTGGTTCCTCGGCTGCGACATAAGAGGATTTTTCTGCCAGAGGTGGGCAGAGAACCCAAACATAATGGTAGAAGTGAAAAGTATCCAAGAAATTGAAAAAGTATTTGGTAAAAAGTTACACTGATCAAATGATCATCAATATTTAAAAATTACATCATCAGATGGACCAAAATACAAAGTTGAGTGGAAATGTAGGCGTTTTAAGAACCAAAATGGCAATAATTCTTATAAGAACCAAAATAAAATGATTTCCAAATCAGTTTCCTCCAATTAAAAACTTAGAAAACTGTAACTAAAGCTGCAGGTGTGTGTCTGAAACTGGTGAGGTTTTGGTGAAAATACTTCATAATTAAATTACTCAAGTTAGAAAAGTATTTGGCAAAATGTCCACAGAAGAACTGAGTAACTGATTGAGTTATCAATCATTTAATGTTTAAAAATTACATAATCAGAACATAAAGTAAGATAGACGTTTTGGTATTTTTCAGAATGAAGATGACAAAAATTCATATAAAACAGAAAATCAGGCTAAAAAAATGTTTCCAAATCAGTTTCTGTTCATAAGAAAACTTTTAAAACTTTAACAGAAGCTGCATGTGGAGAGTTTCTGGTTTAAACATGTTTGTTTTTCAGTTCTTCAGTCTTTCAGGACTTCCTGTCCTGCAGCAGCAACAAGCTGCAGACTCCTGCAGGTCAGCGCCCAAAGGTCTAAAGATAGAATTAAAAATAGAAAACGAGACGATCTGCCGGTGTGCTGTTATCTCCACCGGCTCTGCTGCTGCTGCTGCTGCTGCTGCTGCTGCTGCTGCTGCTGCTGCTGCTGCTGCTGCTGCTGCTGCTGCTGCTGCTGCTTTGTTTTTGCATCCAGTAATAACAATGAGGGAGCAGCGGCTGCTGAAATGTAGGTCCCTGCTGACACAGATATAATCAGGATTAAACCTGGCAGCAGGTTTTCTTAATTCATAATGATTTTGCTGCGGCGCTGTTGGATTAATCTTCGGTTGGCACAAGATTCACGCACAGAATCCGTCATCAACAGTATCACACCGATTCTGTAATAAAGTATCGCGATAAACGATAATATTCTGGTTTAATGGACGCATTCTCAATAAGTTTTAAATCGTAATGGAAATTTTACACTGGAAATGGAAGAAAATCCGTTTTTAATTTTCAGCTTGTTTCAGTTTTGCAGAAGCAGGAAGTGTTATGTGACGCTAAAGTGTTTTTCACTTGATGCAACAACCATCCTTTTCCTCCTAACAAACAAACATTTAAACTTACACCAATACTGGGTACCAGGGGAGCGAATCAACTGGTTTCCTGATGCAAGTTCTGCAGGGTTAAGCCTCTTACATGCAAACGCACCAAAAGATTGATGCGTCCTACATGCAGCAGGCACAAACATTCATAAACCCATCAGCCTGAAGCCGCTTTCAGTGCAGCGTTTCTGGCAGTGTGAGGTAACGGAGGGCAGGTCCGGGCGAACAGACGGGCCTCTGTTCACCTGCAGGCGATTCCCTTACAGTCGGAGGTTATGGATCACGAGATCAGGTGGCTCTACTGGACGAGGCATTCGATGCTGGGGAAGCGAGAAGGACTAATCGCTTGAAGTGCTTTAAGATTTGATGAAGGTAGTGAAAGTGGCTTCAGGTTACAAGAATGCAAAAAGATGTTATGACTTGTTATGTACAGTTATTATAGTCATCCAGCTGGCTGCCATGTTTTTGAGTGAAAAAATGTTTAAAGTTGGGAGAAAATTAGAAAATATTACTTGATAGTTATGCATTTTTTGAAGACTAAGATTAATACCCTAAAAAACAACCATAAAGTCTTAAAAAAGGTGATAATTAAGGACAAAAACTATGATAAATTGGTAAGCCTGGTGGGGGCACAAGTACAGCCTGGTGGGGGCACAAGTACAGCCTGGTGGCCCGCCAGGCTTATTGTACACTGATGGAAACCCTGGAAGAGAAATTAAAAGTAATGCAGATATGCTCTAAAATCAAACAAGACAAGAGGATAAATGGATCATAAATTGTCCCAGAAGTTATTGCGATAAACGATAATATTGTTGTTTTGAGACCATTTAAGTAATATATCGGATCCAGCTCGTCGTAATTAATCGTTGATTGGTTGCTTATTGTGCCAGACCTAAACATACAATCATTTTCTGTTAATATCTAGGAAAGAAGCTAAACTGTTGGTTATGCAATATTAAAAATAGAAGTTTACCAATTTTTAAAAAAGCTGAGTTGCCAATTCCAATTTTGTCTGAAAAGTTGCTAAGTATAGCAAGAAAGTTGCTGAGTTGTGACAGTGGGGTGACTATTGTTGGCTGGAAAATGATGTGGAAGGACGATCTGTGAGTCAAAGCTCTCAGAAGAGGACAGCGGTCGATTTTTAGACCTTTGCAGAGGGAGATGAGATCAATTCACATATAAATATTGATTGAGCTCCTAAACTAAAAGTAATAAAAAATCTGATGCTTTCAGGCCCAACATTCCAAAAACCAGATTGCTAATCCCAAATTAGCCACTTCACAGTGCAGACTGGAATCCTAAATGCTAAATATCTTTCTTCATTTTGCTGGTCAGGTTTCACAAAGCGCCTTTTAGCACGAAATGGGAAGAATGTTGTGATGAAAGTGTGACTTCACTTCATTCCTGTTTTGTCTGAGATCTTTTGTTTGTGATCAAACAAACTCGCTGACGTTTCCTTTTGCTCGGTTCAGCGAAGGTAAACAAGGAAGCGCCAACACCGGCGCTGACCCGGTTCTGTTTACATTCCCCAGGAACACATCCCCCCCAAGTACAAACCTGAAACAGTCAACTCGGCATTTTTTCATTTGTGGTCTCAGAAATTTGTGTAATTTGTTTCTAAAATTGCTGGAAACGTCTTGTGTTTTTTTTTCTCTCCAAGGTTTGTGCAGGAGCTTGAGATTCTTGAAAATGATTCAGGTTTGATCCGGTGTTTTGGAAAGTTCTTGATATTCAGGCTGCAGTTTTATAATAAAGTCAAACATTTAATTAAAAGCAGATATTTAAAACATTTTTTCTCATTGCTGAAGTTGAATCAGACTAAACTTTTATTGTTTTAGTTATTTAGAATTAACTGGATTATTAATATTTTATAAATTCCCCTAAAATACATTTTATTATTTTACTTTGTTATATTTATTATTCCCAATGGATCGATGACTTATTGATCGGATTAATTGAAACAAGTGACTGAAATGTTTTGGGTAAATTAGTGTTTTATTCTTTAACCAGAAAAACATTTAAAATATGCAATTTTATTATATTTTAGATTTTGTCCGTCCGTCCGTTGGTAATTCTGTCTTTTTAACCCCCTCAGCTTTAATCCATGCGGTTCTGATGCCACGTTAGAACAGTTGGTTCTTTGCTTCATGACGTTTTGCTCTAATTCTAATATTTTCGTGAAAGAAGCGCGAACCTCTTCGATCTGTGACGTCCAATCACCAGGAGGGTCTGACTCTGTATGAGCAGAAGATTAATAGGTTTATAAAGTAGCCAGCTGCTATCAGAGCCGCTCATTGATATGATAAAAGCCAGACAGTCTTTGACGCTGTGGTTGGACCGAGACCTGGACGGGCTCCAAGGTTGAGATAAACCGGGCGGCTGCTGAGTCGGTGCACGGCCCGTTAGCTTCCTGCTAGCGCTGCGCCAGCCTGTTGCTGCCTGTCTAATGCGGGCAGAACCGCAGGACGGACTGCGGGCGAGCTGCAGGGAGGAGAACCGGACGCTCCAGGACGTTCAGATCAAGCTCTTTGTTTTTGGGTTTGGGATTCTGAGGCTGATGCCGTGTTTACAGCCTGATCAGAATCTGGAGAGATTTGGATCTGGATGGAAAGAGAGAGAGAGAGAGAGAAAGATTCTCATTTTATTAAATGAAGATAGAAAAATGATTTATAGGCTTTACTTCCTGTTGCTGCTCTAAATGCTGCAAAATGGCTGCTGGTCAGTTTTAAACTGACCGACCATCCAACCAAACATCCATCCAGTTTTTCTTCTGCTTTTGTATTTATTCTTGGTAGAAATATTTTCAGCTTTTCTGAATAAAATTTTACAATAATATTTGAAAGAATTTGACTTTGGAACATCGTCTCTGCATCTTTCACATAAATTAAATAAATCTTCATTGTTTTAAGAGTCTTTCCAACCTTTAAAAACAATAATTGATCACTGTTGTGCTAAAAAGTGTAATCTGGGTAGGAACCCCGTCTCATGTCTTCAAGGAAACCTCATAAACGTTGGTGAACTTCTCCTTCCTGGTTATTTTGATCCTGATTTAGACCAGTCTGTCATAATCTGGTCTGGTTTCAGAGGCTGCTGCTGCTTTTCGTTCTGTCTTCAGTAAACTGAGGCATTAGGGCGTTGTGGTTTCTCATTTTGCTCCGGATCGCCTCACAGGATGTTTGTGCCGACTTCCTTCCAATGAGAGCAACTTTTATCTCTTTTGTTTTAACAAACTGCTGCAGTTCAAAGTCAGATGTGTGAATTGGGCTTTTTGGTGGAGGAAGTAGATTAGTAAGCTAGTTGTTGTTTAAAAAGTGAATGATAACAAACACTTTACACTTTTGGTAAAATATTCACACTTTCAGGTGAACATGTCCTACAAACCTGTTCCTGTAACTGTTTAGCAGTAAAACAATAAAACCATTCCTGGTTTTCTTGGCTGTAATACCTGGCAGCCATGATATTACCAGGTATTATAGTGGTGAACTCCTGCGACCTCAACATTCAGGCTTTCGGTTAAAACAGGAAGTGATGTTTACAGAGGAAGTGGAGTTCAGAATATAAAATAACAGCTTACCTCAGCGGCGGACTCTAACCGACAGCTTCACTCATTATGTGATTGATTGTTGCCACGATAAATAAGCTTCGGTTTCTCTGCTGTGTTTCCTGTGTTTTACGGCTCTACATTAACTCAGACCTCCGCTGAGATGTTTTTATGTCTGAGCCCAGTGATGCATGACCAGGTCACCTGATATTGACCCATAAGTGAAACGTTTTGTGCTCTCATGTTGGACGAGCTAGAAGAAGAAATAATGTCACCGTGGGGAAAAAGCGCTGCTGTTATTTAGCCGTTTTGTGTCCAGTTTCCACATCCAGCTGCTGCAGCTGGGATTTTACCAGATGACCCCGTCCTGACCTTTTCACGGCCTGAGCTCGTCTCTTCCCGCTGCTGACGGCCGTAAACGGCGTCTGACTGCCTCCCCGTCCATCGAGCTGCCTCCCCGTCCATCGAGCTTCAGGATCGGACGTGAGCTGGCGGTTTTGTTCCCGCCAGGCGTCCGTCCTTCCCGTGACCGCAGACGGTGCCAGCAGCCGTGGCGGCGCAAGCGGCTCGGCCATCTGCCGTTCTGGGTGTGAGCGAGCGAACTGCGTGAGGGCAGAACAGAAAGCTGCATGGGTGTGACGGATACCGCGGCGTTTAGATCAGCCTGCAGCCAGATTTACGGACATTCTCCAGTTAAAACTTTTATTGTTTTAACTGATGAGAAGATAAAGGCAACAAAGACGCATAGCTCGGATATTTGAGAACAAAACAGGAACTTTATCACCTATAATCAGATCAGGGAAGAGAATAAAAAAAGTATTTGGTAAAAAGCAACTGATCAGATTATCAATCCTTTTATATTTAAAAACTACGTCATCAGACGGATCATAATGTAAAGATCAGTGGAAAGTTTGGTATTTTAAGAACAAAAATGATCATAAATTATATAAGTAACAAAATAACAAAGTCAGGGAAATTAAATGTTCACAAATCAGTTTATTTCCATAAAAAATTATGAAACTTTAACAAAAACTGCAGGTGTGTCTCTGTTTTGGTTAAAACATGTTTGTTTTCTTATTCAGTGGGGAGAAAATCCAGAAATTTTACTCAACGAAGAGTAGAAATACCTTATAATAAAGATACTTAAGTAAAAGTAAAAAGTACAGCGTAGTAAAAATACTCTTCAAAATAAGTTACTCAAGTAAAAGTAACTGAGTAAATGTAAGCAGTCGCACTGATGATAAATCATGATAAATTTACATTTATAACAGATTTTAGAGCAAATTTACACACAATTGACTAAATATTGTGTTTAATACGTCACACAAATGGAAAACGGATCCAATACGGCTACTAAATACAGAAACTAGAAGCCTGGAACAAAGAATAAAAAGATTTCAATGATGAGTCAAATTTTTTTTATACCAAAAAGTACGTTTAATATTCTATAATCATGACAAAGATGCTTTTATAATTGAATTTAAAGCAAGTTTTGTGTACAAATGACTCCAAATTTTGGTTTTCATATGTTACTTGGGTGAAAAAGTATCCAATATGTCTCTTAAATACAGAAATTTAAGAGCGAATTAAAAAGATTTTAATCCATAATCTGAATCTTATTGCTTATAATCATGATAAAGATGCATTTATAACTGAGCTTGAAGCTAATTTTGAGTAATTTACAGACAAATTTGTCACCAGAGAGGGAGAAGTGTCCAATCCTGGTGGCTGGAGCTGAGAGTAAAGAGAAACAATGCTGAACAGTTGCTGCGTTGTTCGTCTGTGTCTTTGTGAGGAGATAACGCTGCGTCTGCGCCATCTTCCCGCTTCATCTCCTGTCGGCTTTCGTGTTTGGGTGTGTGAGTTACGGGTCATCGTTTCCTCAGAGACGAGGGCAGCAAACAGGAAGTGGTTCCCTCTGCAGGCCGCAGCCGCGTTTCTGACGCTCAGTTTGGGTTTTCGGGAGACGCTAAATACTAAAGGATCAAATGATTCACTGAGACTCAAATCTGGGTTTATTGTTGCTTTGATTTCGCTTGGCCTTCCACAATTAGCACTGAATCTCACAAAATTAATTAAATAGAAACCAATAAGTTCCAGTAATCTGATTTGTCGATTTTTACTTTTCTACCAAAAACTGTAAGAAAACTGATGATTCAGGTCTTTAAAACAATGATTTATAACATTTATTATCTGTGAATTATGGTGTGAAACTCATTTTCATTTTGTTCTTTAATTGAACAATATTTTTCCCTTTTAATATCCAAACACATTTATTGAATAATGAGTAGTTTTAGCAGTGTGAACATGTTGCTGTCCTTTGCTTCCTGCAGCCATCAAGGTGAACTGTCTGGGCTCATGCGGCATCTCCAACAAAATGAACGACTCCTCGTGGAGTCTGGAGGAGCAGTACCTGAACAGCATGCTGTCTGTGACCGATAAAGGTAATCACTGACAATACAGACCAGGTTCAGCTTGAATTTAGTCCCTTTTTTTCCAAATAGCTACTTGTATAATGTATAAAAGGTTAACAATCTGACCAGCACTAGTGGAAGACACTGAAAGGTTTATATTAGCCTCAGTCAATGGGAGCCCTGCACCGCTAAGCGCCATGTAGCTGCAGAATAGACTTTTTGGGAACAATTATTGGTGATATTTTCTTAATTTTTATTGCACATAAGATAAAAGATCTGCTCTGATGCCTGACATTTGATAAAAACAAATCCTAAAGATAAACTTTCAGGCAAAAAGATTGGAGCTGCTAAAAATACTACCGTTAGCTTTATTCCTAGCATGAATAGCTTTTAGTTTAACTCCTAGCCTGAGTAGCTATTAGCTTAACTCCTAGCTTGACTAGCTGTTATTTGACTCCTAGCTTGATTAGGTATATTTCAGTAGCTGTTAGCTTGTCTCCTAGCTTTAGTAGCGTTTGGCTGGACTCTTAGTGTCAATAGCTGCTAGCTTTATTAGCTCCTTATTAGCTTTTCTCTTTCTTAAATCTAAGCTTGAATTGCTATTAATAGCTAGCATTGGGTTATTACTTTGACTTTCAGTCTAACTAGCAGCTGGCAGGATTATCCAATCTAAGATTACTGTGAATTCTTTAAGCTAACAGCAGAAAATGGCTCATAATGAAAACCCGACTTCAGCAAACTGCAGCTTTTTTGTCACAGTTTGATCTTTAGTGCACACTTCTGTTAATGTTTCAGCTGGCCACGCTCTGATAGGAGCGTGGCTATTTTTGGCTCTTTAGCTAAGCGTGAAGAAAAGACTTCAATGAAAGACGAGACAAATGTGACGGCTCTGATTCACAGTAATAGATCTTCATCAACTTGTCGAGACTCTGGTGGAGAACACGCTTCAGAGAGGAAGATATGCATAATTCAAAGCACAACCTCCCACTTTCTGAGCTTCCCTTTTATCTTTGCGGTTGCTTTGTTTTCTATTCTTTCCCAAAAATGGGCAGCTCGGTGTCGGAGGGTGAAGGAGGATCAGGACGCGCAGCTCTGATGATCTGGAACGTCGCTCGTTAGACGAGGGAACGCGGCGGCGTCCGTTCCTCATCCTGTCACTCTTCTCTGTTAGTGGAAACCAGGAACACATTATTTTGTTTCTCCAACAGTCAATGGGAATAAACTTTATCTTTAAACCTGATGCATTCATATCCAGGGCCGGATTTAGCAGAATAAGGGCCCCGGGGGCTGGAGCCCGTTTGGTGACCTGGCCCAAAACATACTTTCAGTAAAAATGTAAATAAATTATTTACTCATAAAAATTACAGGATTCTAACAGGCACATCTACACATTTACAGGTGCAAATTGATGGTTGGTGTCTTTAAAGTGTTCGGTAGTTCACTGCTTTTAGTTATAATTAATAAAAAAAATCAAACACCATTTTAATAAAAGCCACATTTGAAATGAGTTCATGACTTTAATATGAACATGACAGTATATATAAATTAAAACAACAGTTTTTTGGGCACCCCCAAAAACTAGTAGCCCTGGGCAAGAGCCACAGGGGCCTATCTAAAGTCTGACTGAGTTCATTCATGTAACCTGCTATATATTTATGCAATATTTATTCTTCTGAGTCTCTTTATTTGTTTTTCTCTCTTTCTTTCTTTCTCTCTCTGTGCCTTTAGTTATTCTTTCTTTCTTTTTAATGTTCTTCTTTTTGTCTTTCTTCTTCTTTTCTTGCGGTTTTACATGTTTGCTGAAACGTTTAGTTTAAAGCTTCGCTGCTTCCTAACTGTAAACATGATGCCGATCAGATTAATGGAAAAACTCCCGTCTCTAACGAGGCGAGACCTGTTTCTGTCTGCAAGGATTTAATTAGGCCGCCAGCTCCTCTGGAGAATTAAGCAGCCAGTCGGGTGACGGTGTGTGTGTGTGTGTGTGTGTGTGTGTGTGTGTGTGTGTGTGTGTGTGTGTGTGTGTGTGTGTGTGTGTGTGTGTGTGTGTGTGTTAAACACACACACCTCATTATTGGTCCTTATGTCATAAATTAACTGATAATAAACAACATAATTATTAAAGTGTCCAGAAAATGTGAAGGTAGTTTGTAATTGTCTGCTTGAATAGAAAGAAGGACACGTTTCTTTTTCAGTTTTTGCTTGTAGCAATAAGTGGGGGAGGGGAGGCGAGGTTCACTACTGCAGGAGAGTACATATTCACCTGTTGTCATAAAAACATTTTATTTTCTTTGACTTCTTTCCTTTATCTCACTGCTTAAATGTTTCCTGCTTTCGTTCCTACAGTTTGTACTTTTCTTCATCAGTCTCTGTAATCTCTCTGGTCGCTCATGTCTCTCCAGTGTGTGACCTTTGACCTTTGCTCACTCACAGGAACCCTGGCTCCAGGCGAGCACAGTTTCCCCTTCCAGTTTGTCCTTCCAGGTGAGTCTCAGCCGCACCTTTCAGTTCCCACAGCGTTATCAGACCAACAGCGACGTCACAGAAACAAAAACAAAGCATCAGCTGATAACGTCACGTAAGGCCAAGAATGTTTAGCTAATGTTTAACGTGCGCCAAACTCAGTATTTACATGTGGCCCTCTGAACTGGCAAACTTGAAATAAACTTAAACAGGCCACAAAATTCAGTAAAAAAGATTGAAAAATAAGTTTATTATCTTTTTTTTAGTTTTACCTAATGATTAATAAACACAATTTTTTATCTGCATATCAGACATAAAAAAGACTTCTAAAAAGAAAAGCAATTTCCATATTATTTATATTATTTCCATATCGTAAGTTGTTTATTTTGTCGGCCAAATTTTTATCATTCCTGACTTGCAGTCTAGGGCCAAACAAAATCATGTCATGGGCCACAAATGGCCCGCAGGCCACACTTTGGACACCACCCCTCTTGAGGGATGCATAAATAAACAGTGTGCTTAAATATTATTTTATCAATCAAATTAAGTAACTTTATCTATTTACTGCCACATTTCATCACTTAATTTCTTACAGTTTCTTGTGAATTTTTGTGGAAATTTACACAAAATCAACAAATTTCTGGGGAGTTTTGTCCAAAGTTTTGGCCAAATTTATGGAAAGCGTCAGGTTTAAGTAATTACTGGTGCTTTAAGAACGTCCACAACGTGGATGTAAATCCTTTTTGCTTTAAATCTTCACATTTCTCATGAATTCAGCTTAAAGCTGCTGGCAGTGAAGCAGGAAGCCGCGGCGCTGCTGATGGCGCCATCTTGAGTCTGTGTGGTGTTTCCTCTCTCATGCAGGATTCGCTCCAGCTCAGCGGGGGGCGGCCATTTTATTTTTAGCCCTTCATCCTTCACTCTCTGGGTAATTGGTCTCCATGCTCCCCTGCTCAGAAGCCCCCAGTCTGAAGGAAATGACATTAATGTCATCATGGAGAGGTTAAACATTCACTGGGGCCTGTGCTGCCCCCTGCTGGACAAGCAACAGGCCTGCAACTGTCGGTTTTATCTTTTAGCTGAGATCAGGAATAAATACTGGAAGGTGGGCGAGATGGACTCTAAATGCAATATCTATGGTAATTTAATATGTTAGAGGATTAAGAAAATAAAAATAATTAACATTATTCTTAAATATTATGACTTCACTCTCATATTTGTGACTTTATTCTTGTATGAGTTTATTTCCATCATATTTTATGTAAAATTCTGACTTTATTCTCATGGGTTTGCAGTTTTATTTTGGTAATTTTATGGCTAGCTAAGCTAGGTTGGTGGATTCTTTGGTTGCCTAGCAACAACCTGCAGAGTAACTTGCGCAGCAGCAGTTTCATGTTTCACCACTGTGCCTCAAAAATAACCAGCATATTAAATGTTTGAGTATTTAAAACCTCTTGGCACATTGAATATGTTAAATATTTAAAATGTTTTGTGATAAGTTTGTGTCCCGTGTGGTAAAGGATGTTAGAATGTTGGGAAAGTGACGCCTGAACGTTTCGTGTTTTGTTTCGTCTGACCTTTCAGTCGCCATCCCCACGTCGTTCGAAGGACCGTTCGGGAAGATCGCTTACCGCGTGAGAGCGGCCATCGACACGCCGCGCTTCTCCAAGGACTACAAGGCCCAGCGGCCCTTTTACGTCCTCAACATGCTCAACCTCAACCAGGTTCCCGACATCGAGGTGAGCGTCTAACTGTCACAGCGTCGATTCTCTGCAGATGTCCTGTGAGGGCACGTTATGGGAAAAAGACGTCAAATTAATAACGAAATACCCAGAATGTAGGAAGAAGCGTAAGGCTCTGATAAAAGTCCTACTGGGGGAAAAAGAGACATAAACGCAGAGAGGCAGGTATCTAAACAAAACATCCAGACTGGATCCAATTTTAAAGCAATGTGTGAATGAAAACTTGAAGTTGACTGTTTGCCTCAAGGTAAAGAGTCTAAAAACAGGATTTGATTCACTTTTCCTCAGAAAACATTTTCTGTAAATGTGGCCAAGCTTAAGAAATAAAATAAATGCAGACTAAAGTTTGTTTTAGAGTAAAAGTTACTGATCAGATTTACTATAAATTTTAAAAAAGCTGGTTATTAAAACATGAATATCTTGTGTTGTCGCTAACTTTATGTTCATCTTCAATTAAAAATGAAATAATCTGTGAACCAGCCTTGGGGGCCGTAGAAGACCAGTCTGGGGGCCATAAATGGCCCTCGAGCCGCACTTTGAACCCCCCAGCAGTGGTTCTACACCCAGGCGTACTTTCTGTGCATGACGGCTTCGTCAGTGACTCTCAGCAGGAAAGAGGCTCAGGTTTCATCCTCTGACCTCTGCCCCCGCAGCAGCAGAGCTGCGCCGTGACGACCAAGAAGTTCAGCTACCTGCTGGTGCGGACCGGGACGCTGATGCTGAAGACCCGCAGCGACCTGCGCGGCTACGTCCCCGGCCAGCTCATCAAGCTCTCCACGGAGATCCACAACAAGTCCGGGAAGGACACCGGATACGTCCTGGCCAGCCTGGTGCAGGTACTGCTGCCGGCCACCAGGGGGCGCCACCAGGAACTGCGGGACGTTTTGGGCTTTTGGAGATTTTATTTTTGTTTTGTTTTGTTTTGTTTTTCCCTCTTTCTCTTGATTTGAATTGATAAAATCACAAAACTCTTAATGTTTCCATGGAAAAGACTATAATAATGAAAGATGTTCATACTGATGTCAAAATTTGATCTGCAGGTTTTATTGATTTGCTTCCAGGACAAATCTGAGCATTCAATTAAATTTCACACCATTATTCAGTCAAATATTCTCATTTAATAAAAATAATCAGTTATTCTGACGATTAATCAATTAATCGGCTAAGAAAAAAATGACAAAGTGATCAGTTTTTTATTTAACCACTTAATTTATACTGTATTTAAAATAAATTAAATGTAAATATGCAAATAAATCCCTATTTAATTTTTTTTTTTATTTAACATCATTTCTTTAATGAACATTTGATCATTTGATGGAAAGATATATATTTATAAATATCTTTTTATTTTAATTCAATGATTAATTTTTCTGTTGAATATTCTGGCGATTAATCGATTAATCGGATAGAAAATTTGCACATTCTGTAGATTTATCATTCACCTACTTTAGCTGAAATTATACAATATTGAAATTATATAAAATGTAAATATGGCAATAATTAAATGCCTTTTAATTTTAAAAATTTCATTACCTTAATGAATGCTTGTTCATTTGAAGAAAAGATTAATTTCTTTTTCAAATGAAATGCAAAACGTTTATATTTTTGTAGAGTTTTGGCTGAATATGTTCTTTCAGCAGAAAACCTTTTTATGACGCTGAATAGCCCAGTTAGTAATTACTAAATTAACTGACAGTTATTTCAGTTATTGATTAATCACGATTAATCGTTGCATCAGGAACTCTGGTCGGTTTTCCGTTTGGATCTTCACGCCGCTTCCCGGGTTTCTCCCTGCAGAAAGTGACGTATCGGACCAAGCGGCCGGTCTTCGACCTGCGGACCATCGCCGAGGTGGAGGGCGCCGGAGTGAAGGCCGGGAAACACGCGGAGTGGAGGGAGCAGATCATCGTCCCTCCTCTTCCTCAGTCGGCGCTCGCCGGCTGCCGCCTCATTGACATCGATTACTTCATTCAGGTGATGATGGGTCTGTCTGTGATTTGTGGTTAGAAGTAAGCAGAATGTTTTTCACGGAACCGCCGCTGCCTACATGATGCTAATATCATCCTTTCATACAGTATTGATCCACTCTGGATATAAACTACTGAATTATTAATAGCGTACACTTATAAACCCACTGCTGTCTGTTTCTGTTGAATAACTGTGATTAGTAAAGTTAGTGCGTTTTGAACTTTTTAACATTTCATCACATTTAAACAACAAACTTTCATTCTTGGGATTTTATGAGACCAATAATGTAGAACAAAGTTTTGAAATGAAACAATCTTAAAGTTTAAGATTTTGCAGCTCAGCTAAGTTTTAAAAAAAACAAAACATCCAAGTTCAGTTTATTAAACCAATTAGTAACATTTAATCTCAACTGTGTGATTCTGAAAGGAGGAAAAGTGTAAATGATTCAATGGAACCAAATGCTTTACTGTTAGCTTCAGTAGCTGTTAGCTTGACTCCTAGCTTCAGTAGCTGTTAGCTTGACTTCTATCTTCAGTAGCTGTTAGCTTGACTCCTATCTTCAGTAGCTGTTAGCTTGACTCCTATCTTCAGTAGCTGTTAGCTTGACTTCTATCTTCAGTAGCTGTTAGCTTGACTTCTATCTTCAGTAGCTGTTAGCTTGACTCCTAGCTTCAGTAGCTGTTAGCTTGACTCCTATCTTCAGTAGCTGTTAGCTTGACTTCTATCTTCAGTAGCTGTTAGCTTGACTCCTAGCTTCAGTAGCTGTTAGCTTGACTCCTATCTTCAGTAGCTGTTAGCTTGACTCCTATCTTCAGTAGCTGTTAGCTTGACTTCTATCTTCAGTAGCTGTTAGCTTGACTTCTATCTTCAGTAGCTGTTAGCTTGACTCCTAGCTTCAGTAGCTGTTAACTTGACTCCTAGCTTCAGTAGCTGTTAGCTTGACTCCTATCTTCAGTAGTTGTTAGCTTGACTCCTAGCTTCTGTAGCTGTTAGCTTGACTCCTAGCTTCAGTAGCTGTTAGCTTGACTCCTAGCTTCTGTAGCTGTTAGCTTGACTTCTAGCTTCAGTAGCTGTTAGCTTGACTCCTAGCTATTTCTTTGTCGAGCTAAATCGGTTGTGGTAACAGACGTGTGTGTACTGAGGTTTTTTGTGTTGCCATCGTCATCATTAAACCTGTTCTGGCTGTTTTTTGCCCCAGGTGTCTCTAAAGTCTCCAGAAGCCGTCGTCGTTCTGCCCATCTTCATCGGGAACATCCCAGTGAACCTGTCCCCCGCCAGCTCCATCCCCACCAGTCCCAGTCCCAGCTGTTCACTGGTTCCCAGTGCCAGCAGAGTGACGCCCAGCGCCCCGCCGGTGGAGGACGACCCGGACGGCGAGCTCGGCGCCGGAGGCTTCGTTAGCGAAGAGATCCCCACTAAGAGCCACTCGCAGCAGGACCCGTCCGGGCCGCCGGTCACCATGTCGCCCAGCGCCTTTAGCTACGCCCCCGGCGCCGCGCTGCCGCCCGGCCGGCGCCCCGACGCCTCGGCGCCGCTCTTCTGCCTGTCCACTGGAGCCACCATACCGTTCTTCACAGAGGGCGACGTGAACCCGATCCCCACATCCTGCTCACTCATCCTGCCGCCGGAGTACAGCAGCTGTGACTATCCTCAAGGTGAGGAAACGGCGCCCAGCAGGGGGCGCCAAGCAGCAGCACGAATGATGGGATTCAAACTGGATTATCTGCCTTCAGAGTCTAAGAAACTGGTTTACCAGGACATCCATCCATTAACTGTCTTTTGTTTTGTTCATTCGTTGTTTGGTTTCATCTTTTTGATTTCCTCAAGAATCTGGAAATTTAAATCTAGTAAAATGTTTATTTCTGAAGCGTTTCATGTCTCCGTCTTCAGTTGTTTCTCATTCCGGGCCTCTTGTGTTCCAGAACCGCCGCCGACGTACGAGGAAAGCTGCAGCATTGTGAACTCTAGTTTTAACAACGGACAGTAGAAGAAGAAGCAGCGGACGGTGAAGCGTCATGGCCGCCGAATGGCTGCTTTCACTTCCCCGCCATCCGGACAGAAACTCGCTGGAGGACGACTCCGCCCTGCAGACGGTCCGTTTGCGCTGAACAAGGGATCGTTTCTCATTTCCCTACGAGTTTTGGTTCCCGCCTCGTCTCCCAGCAGGTAACATCAGACCCAACAGGTGAACTTTGTGCCTAAAAAGTATTTTCAGATCAATATTTAGGTTTTTTTCTGGGAGAAGTGTGAAATCTCTTTCCTTATTTCTGCAAGTTGTTGCATCTGTGATGCCTTTAGAGTAACTGCAGCACCCGGTTGCTTTCCGTCTGGCCCTGTTGTCGTAACAAACCTGAGCGGTTGGGTGTCCATCAGGGTCGTGTATTCGGCCCCCAGATGTTTTGCTCATCAACAAAGCAGCAGCGGTGTGTTTGTCATGTACCAGTTCTGCTGCTGCATCTATCTGTTGATGTGCAGAAACCAACAGAAACTCTCTGAAGGATGTTTAGTGATTTTATTTGAAAAGAAACTCAGCTTTTGTTTCCAAGCTGTCTGAATTTCTTGTCAGTTTTTTAGGTCCAGATAAGTTTTTCTGAGTTTGTGAATGTTTTCCTTTGGTATTTGGCTGCTTTTTCAAACTATTTCTGCCTTCTTGCTCAGCGTATCGTGAGTCGGTTTCTTAAAGAAAATGCCTGATTGATTGATTGATTGATTGATTGATCCGAATCAATAGGATTAGCAAATATTCTACTGGAAAGGTTTACAAACTGCTCTGTGTAATGGAAAAACAATGAATAGGTCGAGTGATTGATCAATTAGAAAGATAAGAGGTTTGACTTGGTTTGTTAGTTTAATTGAATGTTTTTAAACTTTTGCTCCACACTGCCACCTTGTGCTGGTTTTATTTTTCATTCAAAAGGGAAAAAAAAGTCAATATTGCCAGAAAAAAGTCATGTGAGAATTCAGTCATAATAATACAATAAATAGTTGTAATATGAAAAAACACAATGTTTTGAGACCAAGGTGAAATATAAAAGAATAAAAATAAAGTCTTAATTATAAACTGTTGTAAGATTAAAATAAACAGTCGTCATAATTATGAGAAGAAAGGTGCAATAATACAGAAATAAACTCATATTACTAGAAAAAATATTCATATTAATAGAAGGAAGTAGTAATTTTATGACATATTACAATGTTGTGACGTTTTACTAGTTTTATTTATCTTATGAAACATCAACATCAAACTTTTACCAGCAGCAAAACTTTGGAACGACACAAACAAGACAATCTTTAATCCTCATTAAAAACTTTTTCTCCTAATTTCAAGATTTTCTCCTGGTAAAATTGTGTTTGCTAATATTCTGACTTTATTCTTACAATTAAAAAATAAAAAGTAAATCTTAGTCCAGCCCTAAAACTCCATTTTAATCTGTAATGATTTAGGTTGAAAATGCCGCTGCGCCCCCCGGTGGCCAGTTCTGGTACAGCCTCCAGTCTCTGCTGTTGCTAAAATGCATCTTAAAACGAGTCTGAGGATCTTTTCTGTTGCCTTAAAGCTCATGTAGACGACAACGTAAATGTGCACAAAGCAGCACTTTCTGAACCTGTGTGTGTGAGCGAGAGAGAGAGAGAGAGAGAGAGAGATGTTTGGATTTAAGATATAAAAACTAGATGCCACTGATTTTTTTTTTACTTAATTTTTGTGTTAAGCAGTTTTTCCCTCATCACCTGATTTTGTAAATCATTTATGTCGTCATTTAATGTCTTTGTTTTTCTTTTGCACATTAAAAATATTTTATCTCTTGTGGCTCAGAAGAGGGAAAAGGAAGTGAAGTGATTGTTTATTCTTAGAGAAAATCTCTTTATTTATGTTGAATGTTGATGTTTTCTACCACTTTGCTGCCCATCTGGGTCCCTTCACACTCCTGAAACTTTATGGACAACTAAAAAAAATTGTTTGGATTTTCATAATATTTTCAATATTCTGTTATATTGATCATGCTCAATAGATGTATAGAAACAGAAATTTTCAAGTTTATTATGTTTTTGTACTCAAGGGTAGAAAAAGAGCAACAATAATTTATTTTTGTCAAAATGGCAAAAATAAACATTAATGATTGATGTTTTCAGCTTCAACAAGCAGCTTTTTGTTTGTTATCCTGCTTATTTAATAATTTGAGCTTAAATATCTAAAGATCTTATAAAAATGTAAAAAAATTTAAGAAATAATTGTAGATAATATAATAAAATTGTTGCCTCAGAAAAAAATAAATAATGACTCAGTAAAACTTGTCACTTTAAAACAATCTCTCTTTCAAGATAACTATGTTGGAAATTAGCATGTCGCTGAATTTGATGTATTTTATTTCATTAATTTGTTCAATATTGCAGCAAAAATGGGTTTAAGTTTCCTGATCTGAAGATGAAGCCTGAGGTTTGCAAATAAAGGAGCTGGATATATTATCTTAAGATAATGAGATATTGAAACAGTATTTGCAACAAAGCACTCATATTTTAATATTCTGAACTCATCAAATTGTTCTAACGTCGCATCTTAAAAATAACCGCTCAATAAAAACGAGATTACTGTCAGGATTATGAAAATTAAATTAGATTGGCGTCCTTGAATCTTGAAATAATGAAACAACAAACCTTTTATTTATCTTCAAATCTCATTATCTCAATATAATAAGACATAAGAAATAAGATTTCCCCTCTTTGGAGCTTTTATTGCTTTAGAAACGCTGATCTGAAGCACTAGAGTTACATAAAACATCCACACTTTAAGCATTTGAAAGCATTAAAAATGTGAAGGAATCCTGTTGAAAACATTCGTCTGAAGCACAACTACTGTCCCGATTTATTTTCTGAATGTTTTCTCACTTTTTAAAGCAATCAACGAAATCAGCAGGTTTAGCTCTGTCATACTGTAATGATGTTAAAGTGATAATGTGACTGCATGCCTTAAACCTTAAACATGAGCCGCTTCTGTTTGTTTTCTAATAAATCTACCAAACTGCAATCTATGTAGCACATAAAGACACTGGACCTTTTATCTGTTTTATTCTGATTTTAGAAAACAAATGTGACGTCCTCTTATTTCCACATGTGCTGCCTTTCAGACCTGCTTCTGTTTATTTCAACAAAAGGTACTATAGCTTTATGAAAACCTGCTGTTCATGTTTTGTTTTCTCCTCTTCCATGTAAACGAGTGTCGCCTACTTTTGTATTTTTCTACTTGTAAATTGTTTACAGGTGCAGTTTGAATATACCGAGAAAAGCACCTTGACCCGTTCATGTAACGTCTCCAGTGCAGAATCAGGGTTGTACTGTACAATATAATAATAAAAATCACATGATGTGTTTTTGTAGTTTCAACAGTCAACTTTGTGTGGAAAACAATGTATTCCTTTACAATTTTTTACTTTTTTGTTGGACTTAAAATGTTAATATTATTCAGTATTTCTCTTTTGATCAGTTATTTACACAAGAAACTTTAATAGGTTGTTAGGATTAGCAAAATTATTTTGATTTTCTAGTTGCCGGGATATTGAGATGTATTTTTACATGTCCGTAATACAAACAATAAAGAAACAAAGTACATTTTAAATACAAATGTATTAGATATCCATAAGTCTGCAAGACAAAAATAATAGTTATAGTTTTATCATAATTAAAAATAAATTGGGTGATTTGGTGTAATAAGATGTGAACTTTAACTTGGTGTTTGGAGTCTTATATTGATTTACCTATTCTTCAGTTTTTAATTTAGTGATAACAAACACTAAGGTAAAAACATGTCAAGAAATTATCAAGATTTATTGATTTTAGTGTTTCTTTTAATCGGGATGCCAAATTTGTGGTGATAGTGGGAAAATCTGCCACTCACAACATGGCGGACGCGCAGACGCATAATTTTAATGGGGGCATATTTTTCCCGCCGCGCTCACCGCTTCCCAACAGCAGGTCGCGAGAGAGGTCAGTTGATCAGCTGTTAGCTGGAGCGCCGAAGCTAGTCGGCTTCGCTCGGCCATTTCCGTTAGTCACATGGTACCAGTAGCGAACATTACGGCGTCAAAAACAAAAAAGCGGTTTAATTTAACGCCTGCGCTAGCTTCGAGGGCTTAACGCTAAGAAACTGCGTTATTTAGCGATTAAAATGGAACACGAGCTCGTTTTTTGAGCTGTTTTCAACCTGAGCCGATGGGAACATTTATTTTAATCGTTGCCATTTAATGGCTGTAAAAGACTCCATTACCCTTGAGCCTCTGGGGGTTATTTATGTCACGGGTTTAGCCTCCCTCTCTGTGCGGCTGAAGTGCTGAGTGTCGCTGGGCTGCGTTCAGCCGGTGGCCCGGTCCGGTCGGTACTCGGAGCTACAGCTGAAGTTCTGATGGGAGCCGAACTCAGCGCCAGCTGAAACCGGACTTTTAGCTCCACCGTTAGCTTCAACGTTAGCAACATGCAGGTAGGTTTTCTGTTTGGAGTTAAAACAAAGCCAACATAGTAGGGAGCTTTGTTGCTTTCTAAGTTATGCTCCATTGTAAGCTTGTTGGTGTGTAAAATCCTTTCTAGTGTTTTAACAAACTACAATTTAACAAACATCCAGTGGAAGTAAAACATGGATCATTAAACATCTCTTCTTATCAACACAACCAACCACATGTTTTTCTAAATATCAGCTCAATTCAGCAGGTTTTTAAACTGTTGCACGAATTTTTTATAGTTTTTATTTGTTGAAAGATTTTTTCTGCAAAAACTTAGAAACTGTGGAATTTGCTGTTCATACAGAAATATTTTAAATTTACAAACTTGTCCCTTTAATCGAATATCCAAGTTACTAAAAGGGTGAAAATTACAATAATGCATTGATTTATATTGAAATTACACACTATTAATGATTTCCAGCACTAAACTTGAGGGGTTTTTGTTTGTTGACAAAATGTATTGTGGTTTTCAATTATAATTGAGTTTTCTTTTATTAATCTGGGTTAGGAAATGTTAAAACTTGATCAAATCTTCTCTAGATCTATTTTACCATCCCTGAAAATCAACCATTTGCTCAGTTATTTTAGATTTTTAAAATGGTGTGTCAAATCTCAACACTTTAGTTTGCAAAACTATCAGATTTTAAAATCTGTAGCTTTTTATTTGGACTTTGGCTGCTTTATTTCATTGTTATTTCATGTTCAATCCTTGCTTTTCTTAAATAGCATTTTTTATGAAGAAGATATTTACCAAATTAACTATAAACTGAAAACGTAGTGGATAAATGTGGATGACTGGTAGCTCAGTTTTCTGTCAAACTGTTTTGTACTTAAAAAGACAGTTTTCACTATCTTTTTAAATACAAGAGGAAAACTTGTAACTATTGAAGTTAAAATCCTCTGACAATGATTGAAAACGAGGTTAAGAATGAGTAGAAAAAGTTGCCAAAGTCTGGAGAATGTTTAATAAAATATACAAACTTTAAATATAAGCCATTTGTCAATCATTATGAAAATGGATTGCAAACAAAAATAAGATTTTCCAAACTACAAATTTGTAATAAAAATATCCTTTTTAATTACTTGTATACAAATGATATGCATCTATAAATGGATTTTTCTATGCTTTTTTGAGTTGATTAGGTATTTGTTAGTTTTTAGTTGGTAAAAAAAAAACCTTCACAGATGATTGAACTGTTATAAAAATGTAAAAACCCATTTCAGTGTGTTGATAAGTCCATTTTGTCTGTGATCTGACCCGGTGGTTCTTTAACTGCATCTAGTGTCTATTAACAGAGTGAGGTTTTAGAAGTGAAAATCTGTTTTTACTGGAGGAAAATCATTTCCAGGTGTGAAAAGTGCAAGATTATGAAAGGAAGCTTCACAAAGCAACAGGTGACGCAACGCGAGTTCATGTGAGTTTATGTGCCTCGACCTGCCTGAGTCATCAACAGGTTGGAGTTAAGTGGTTTGATAAACGCATGGAAGGCATTCCTCTGGAAACGGTCGAGTATCTGAGGGAAACTGGGTGGAAAAGCAACAGAAAACCAGAGAGAAACGATGACTGATCATCAGAAATCCTGGAGAAATGGGACTTTGAGGTGGCTTTAAATGTAAAACCAAAACAATCACATGTAAAATGTGCTTCGTTGTGCAAAATATTACATATTAGGCTTTCAGATTGTCTGGTTGACTTCATGTCTGCGTTTCAGCTTTCTTTGTTCACCTGAAAAAATGGGAAATCCAGGTTTTCTCAATAATCTTCTAATAATCAGCCTGCCAGTCGACTCATGTTTGTGTTTGTCTTGACTCATAATCTGATGAGACACGTCTGCTGCGTTCCCAGAAACGCTTCATTATTATTATTATCATGTAAAGTTTATTAGCTTGATGTATTTATTCAAATGTTTTGAACGTAGAGTGAACGAACAGAAAAAAGTAATTGGGTTACAGAGGAAGCTAAAATGAATTTGGACACAGTTCTTCCTCTTTCTTACGTAACTCTGTTCATTGAAAGTCACGTATCTCATAATATGGGCGAATTGAAACCAGAAATTTACATACACCAAATAAAAAAACAAGTTTTATTCCTCACTTGGGCTAGAGTTAAATCAGACCAAACTTTTCCAGTTTGGAAGCTTCTGATTGCTTAACCGAGACATTTGAGTTAATTGGAGTCACACCTGTGGATGGATTTTTAATGTCACACCTGCAGCACTTTGCTCTCTGCATCGGCACGATGGGAAAGTTAAAGGAAATCAGAAAAGATGTCGGGAAGAGTTTCACTGAGCAACACTGAGCTGGTTCTTCCTGGGGAACAGAAGATGCTGCAGTTCAGCAGTAAAGCGCTGAAATTGTAGTAAAGTGCTGGAATTGTAGTAAAACTTTGGAGTTGCAGTAAAGCGCTGGAATTGTAGTAAAACTTTGGAATTGCCATAAAGCGCTGGAATTGTAGCAAAACTTTGGAGTTGAAGTAAAGCGCTGGAATTGTAGTAAAACTTTGGAGTTGAAGTAAAGCGCTGGAATTGTAGTAAAACTTTGGAGTTGCTGTAAAGTGCTGGAATTGTAGTAAAACTTTGGAGTTGCTGTAAAGTGCTGGAATTGTAGTAAAACTTTGGAGTTGCGGTGAAGCACCTCGGAGTTGCAGGTTCTGGCGCTGTCTGTACTGGGAGTACTGGGAGTTTGTCGTCACGCTCTGAGTGCAGCTGACGGCAGACAGACGGGACTCGAACCGGGCCGCTGGCAGAACACAAAGAACGTCTCAGTCCGACGTCCACGGCAGCTGGAGAGGACAAAGCGCCTCTCTGACTGAAGAGACGAGTCTGGAGAGATCGGCCGCAGCAGCAGCTGCCAGTTACTTCACCGCCCCAGGAACTGATGTTTGTGTTTGCAGAAACGGAACTGAATCCCAAAAAATCCCGTCTGTCTGGATCTCAGACAGAATGAAAGTTCGCCTGAAGCGACCTGACCTGCTCTGAGCAGAGTCGCGTCTCGGCTCACGCAGACGCTGCATCTGTTATCAGGAACTTATTTAGTAGCTTGAATATGAAGAAAGTGAAGCTCAGATTCTTTCCACAAAGACCAGGAAGCATAATAATGATAATATCTCAGGTAAACATCTGGTTTTCTTTCTTTTTTCTATCAGATGACCTTTGAGGCCTCGAGCAGCGTGACCCTGCTGTTCGACTTCTGGAGCGTTCACGGCCCTACAGGTCAGCAAGGCTCCTTGGTGTCTGATGACCTTTCACCCGAGGTCAACCCATCAGAACCAGAACGGCTTGTTTAAATGTCACAGATCAGAACACATAATAAAAGATCACAGAAACAAACCAGGTGTATTGTTGAAATGTTATCTGAATTTAATTAGATTTTCTTTTAACTTAAACTGTGTGGGTCTCAAGTCAAAAGAGAAAAACTTAAATACTGTTTATAGTTAACACTCTAAATTAATAAATGTCCACAAAAACAAAACAATTTTAATGCAGTTACTTATTTATTTCATAATGTTATTTTGTAACACTTACAAAATACATTTTATGTATATTTGTTTAACAGATCATAACATATTAACAGTAAAAATCAACACATTCATCCATTTCATTTAAATTATTCACCTGAAACTGGTCTGTCAGTTATTTTATAAATCTTAATATTGAACTCGGTGATTTAAAAAGTTTATTTTTGTTTTCTTTCTTGAATCTGTAGAGTATTCCCTGGTTTAGATCAAGTTTCTGCCTGTTCCAGTAATAAACTCCTCCCACTCTGCAGGTTCATAAACGTGAGAAAAAACCAGATGCTGTTCTGCTCTGCAAAAGTTCAGTTTAATGTTTAACAACAGAAACAGAATAAACTTTAAATAATGTTCAACAGAACTTGACTGGGGATATTTTATCCAAGTTTTGCATTGAACGCCTTTTGATTTTGTTGCTTTTGGATTAAGATGAACATGATAAAATGTCTCATAGCTGTCAGAATAATAGTTTTGAGTTTTTCTTTATAGTTTAATTTTCTTTTGACTTTTTGTTTGTTTTCATTCATTTTTCAGAGCGTGTTTGTTTTATTAGTTAAATATAGTTTAGTTTTTTTATACTTAAAGTGCTGTATTGTGATTGTTTATTGAATGCTCAACATTAGATGTAGTTCGGAGCTGAAATCTACGTTATTTAGTGTTTTTTAGTTTTCTGTGCTGCCCCCTGGTGGCTGCTCTGTGAGTTGGTTGTCTGTTTTCTCTCTGCCTGCAGGCATGGTGCTGTCGGTGTTTGTCGTCCTGCTGCTGACCGTCTTCTTTGAAATTCTCAAAGTGTGGCGGGTTTGGCTGAGCAGCGGCTCCGCGCTGACCCGGCCTCCGCCGCCGTACGCCGCCGCGTCGTCCCGCCGCGCGGAGAGCTGCTGCGCGCTGGACGCCAGCCCCTCCGAGTCCTCGCTCACCTCCACAGAGACCGAGCCGCTGAGACCCAGGAACAGGTGGGAACGAGTCCCTGAGGTGTATTAGTAGGAGTGAAGCGATTACCATATTCATAAAGAACATATTTAGAAATGTTCTGTAGTGCAGTTTTAAAAAGCGACGCCAGAACCAACCACAAACACCTTTGGATCAAATTTGTGGGTCAGGATTGTTTACACATCAAGCAATTTGATTCACATTCACACTTAAGGGAACTTAAAGGCTTTTTCTGCAAAGTTTCACCATTTGTTACATTTTCAGCTGCTGTGGTTCTCTTTCACTCTGCTTTGTTAAATGACTATTTGAAACTATTTGAAAAAGCTGTTCCCCTCCTCGCCTGTGGGGGCGCTACACCAAGAATCACTGAAGAAAATCAAACAAAAACCTCTGAGCTCCACTTTCTTCTTAATAAAATGTTAGAAAAATGGATCAGCGTCAGATTTCAGTGTTTGTAGGATTACAAGAACCCAGACATTTCTCCAGCTAACGCTAGTTAGCATGTTTGTTGGTTTTAAATACCCAGAATTCCCTGTTCTGCAGTCCACTTCCTGCTTGGCGTTCACATATACATTCAACCAGCACCAGAGTTCACTTCAAATAAGAAAATAAACCGAGAGCTAATTCTTTTATTTTTTAACTACTGGGACCTTCATATATTAAAATTAGGAATTTTCTTATTTCTTAAATAAGAAAATATTTCTTCTTAAATAAATGAGTGTGTTGGTCTGCAGCTGGCTGCAGCACGTCATCCAGACGTGCCTCCACGTCCTGCAGGTGACGCTCGGCTACATGCTGATGCTCTGCGTCATGTCCTACAACGTCTGGATCTTCCTGGGCGTCGTCGTCGGCTCCGGACTCGGCTATTACGTCGCCTTCCCTCTGCTGGGCCAGATGTCTCTGTTCAGCCGGGTCCGGCACTGAACAGGCGAACGCGGCGATGAGAAGTCGCTTTCTTTGGACTCCACTGCATGTGTTCGGAGAGCTGCCTCACAATGACTTGCAGAAACTCACCTGGAAACCAGAACCGCAGGAGTCGACCAGGGAGTGTTTATCAGGCCAGAGTGGACCTGAGCACAAATAATGTGGTTCGTCCTGATAATGGGTTAGATCATGTCATGTCAGGAGGTTTGTGTGTGTGTGTGTTTGTGTGGAAAAAAACATCTTCTGCTCTCTGCCTTTCTGTTTTGGCAATAAAAGCTCATGTCTGCAACCTTTCTAGTCGCCGCTGTAGCAGTGGTGTCCAAACTTTTGCCCTGAAGGTCAAAACCGTCAAATTTAAACATGCAGGCCACTTTTTCACTAAATTAAAACTGCAAAAAGGAATCATGTTATTCTGCCTGTTTAACAATAAACTAAACTGACCTTTGGCCTGTTGCCTTATTGAAACAAAAACAATTTCCACATTTTTTGGGTCACTAATTGTTTGCTAAATAGTTGCTATTCTTCACTTTTGGCCAGAACAAAATCATTTCAAGGGTCACAAATAGCAACCGGGCCACACTTTGGACACCCATGCACTGTAGTGAGGCTTTAATACTGTGGTCAGAAATCTTCCTCTTTCAGCAGATTGTTTACAAAGCAGATACTTTTTGGTGCGTTGCAGATTTTCAGTGAACTCAAATGAAGTGTCCTGCTATTTGGGGAAACGAATCATTTGATTTTTAGTCTGTAAACTCCTCTGATGAGTCATTTTGGCCGTCAGCAGTCACACGCTCCATTTCGTTTTGGTTTTTTTGTCGATCAGAAACTGCTGTTGCCTTGTAGCCGTTTGTTTTTGCTTGAAGTGAAAAACTTTTTATGACCCATATCTTAAAAGCTTGTGATCAGTGTTTGTGATTCTATATTTTTGGTTTTGTTTGAATCAAAAATAAAAATTAAAGCTGCTGAATATTTGCATCTTTGAAAATATTGACCTCCAACTCAGACAAGTTGAGTGTTTTTTTTTAACATCTTTAGTCTATTTTGAATCCTTGACTACATTCTGTCACTTAATGCATCATTGCTTCTGAATAGTGTCCAAAGTGTATTTGATGGAAAAAGAGTTTGTTCTTTTTCAGGGAGATATTTTCACAGAAATATTCCTAAAATGGAAAGTCGGCAAAAGACGGCTGCAGCAAGCCGCCGCCTGTTCATGGTTCAGTATTTATGGATTTTTTTGTTTAACATAACTCCAAATAATCTGCAGAAAACTCGACTGTGTGTTTTTTTATTTTTTTTTATTTTGAGATCATACCTAAAATAATTCAAACAAAATGCACTTTTGCCCTGTAACCCCTGCAAATACCATTTGTTCACTGTATTCTGGAAAGAGTGACTATTAGACTTTATAACACTAGATAAAAAATACAAATAAAAAAATCTAATTTGTACACTGCATGGTCTTCTTAAAGAATACTTTTGTTTCAGATTGTGATTTGAAGAGCTTTTTAAAATTTATTACAGAACACTCAATATTCTGTAATTATGGAAGCCCGTTTCCGCCACTCTGTTAAAAAATTAAATAAAATTATCTCATTATAATGAGATAGTATCTCAAAATAATGAGATAGTATCTCAAAATAATGAGATAGTATCTCATTATAATGAGATAGTATCTCAAAATAATGAGATAGTATCTCAAAATAATGAGATAGTATCTCATTATAATGAGATAGTATCTCAAAATAATGAGATAGTATCTCATTATAATGAGATACTATCTCATTATAATGAGATAGTATCTCATTATAATGAGATAGTATCTCATTATAATGAGATAGCATCTCAAAATAATGAGATAGTATCTCATTATAATGAGATAGTATCTCAATATAATGAGATAGCATCTCAAAATAATGAGATAGTATCTCATTATAATGAGATAGTATCTCAAAATAATGAGATAGTATCTCAAAATAATGAGATAGTATCTCATTATAATGAGATAGTATCTCAAAATAATGAGATAGTATCTCATTATAATGAGATACTATCTCATTATAATGAGATAGTATCTCATTATAATGAGATAGTATCTCATTATTTTGAGATAGTATCTCATTATAATGAGATAGCATCTCAAAATAATGAGATAGTATCTCATTATAATGAGATAGTATCTCAATATAATGAGATAGTATCTCATTATAATGAGATAGCATCTCAAAATAATGAGATAGTATCTCATTATAATGAGATAGTATCTCAATATAATGAGATAGCATCTCAAAATAATGAGATAGTATCTCATTATAATGAGATAGTATCTCAAAATAATGAGATAGTATCTCAAAATAATGAGATAGTATCTCATTATTTTGAGATACTATCTCATTATAATGAGATAGTATCTCATTATAATGAGATAACTTGAGTTGGCCCTATAGTTTGAATATCTCTTGATAAAAAATGGATAGGATATTGAGTAAATCATTGAGGAGATCATTTTCATAATCTGAAATTTTGGGAGTTTTGGAAGAAACCCATAATGTCAAATTAAGTCTCCGGACGCTGGGAGAAGACTGCAAAAGAAGCGCCTTTGGCGTAGAAAAAATAAGACAGATGTTGCAGAAGTGGCCTCTTTTATTGAGCATCAACTACAAGGATCTGGGAGACAGCACGGCTACAGGTGGATGCACCAGAAATGTTGGATGGCTGGCATAGTCACAGACAGAGAAACAGTACGTCTTTTGATGCGCCTATTGGATCCCAACGGGGTTGACCTGCGTGCACAAAATCGCTTGAGACGACGCTTATATGTCAGTCGGGGACCAAACTATGTCTGGCACATCGATGGGTACGATAAATTAAAGCCTTATGGGATATGTATTAATGGATGCATAGATGGCTTTTCAAGGAAAATGATCTGGCTCGAAGCATATAAGACTAATAGTGATCCTCACATTATTGCTGGCTATTTCATTGACGCTGTGATGGAGTATAATGGATTTCCTCAAAAGATACGAATGGATCACGGCACAGAAAACACTTATGTGGCAGCGATGCAAAGATTTCTGCACAACACCGAGAATGAAAATGGTTTTGACTCTGTTATTCTCGGTCCGAGTACAGGAAATCAAAGGATAGAGCGATGGTGGTGCACTTTAAGAAGTGAATGTTCCCAGTTTTGGATGGAACATTTCGACCAGCTTAAAGCCGACGGCCATTTTGTTGACAGTTTTCTGGACAAATCACTGATCCAGTTTTGCTTCTTACAAACAATACAGGTACTATAAATTTACTTCTTACTTTTAGCACACAAATTTGAAATAAGTTACAAATAATACAGAAGCATGAATTTTTTTTAACAACTATTTTATTTTATTTTTTCAATTTTTTTATCATACAGATGGAGCTGGATGAAGTTGTTCATACATGGAATGACCATCGAATACGATCTACAAATAATCCTCGGGCTCCTCCTGGTCGTCCCACATTAATGCATGGTGTTCCCAACCTGTATGGGGTTCCAAACTTTTTACAGTCTGCTAATCTAACAAAGCTGGAAATATGTGTAGAAGAATGTCATTTCAAGGACTTTCCCTGTGATGTCGATGTATTTCACTTATGCACTGAACTCATGACAGAGCACAGACTGGTAATGACAGATGATGTATATGAAATTACTAATCTTTATGTAAGACTCCGCCAAATGATCAGTGATGGGCTGAGGGAATAGTTTCTCTAAATCGCCCAGGTTAACAAGTCAGATATTATGTCAGTATGTCCTGTGTAAACATTGCGATTGTAAAACTTAAATGCATGAATGAGTTACAATTTGTTTCTATGGTTTATTTAAAAACACTAATACATTTTAGTTTCCTTCAACATTGAGTTCAAGGTCAATCTACTAATTTCTATGTATTAAATCTTTATTGTTGCAAAAATACAAGCCTCTTCTTCAAAACAGCACTAAATAGTGGCAGCATTTGCAGGTTTTCTGTTTTCTTACCCTTACTTAGTCGGGGAAAGTGTTATATGTACAAGGCAATGTTTTAATCATGTTATTACTAACAGATAACCATTTGTGACAATTTTCCTACCAACATGATTGTTTGCAGTTCGTATTAATTCGATAAGAGTACAAATGTTGTCATTACTCTTGACATACAGTACAGACCAAAAGTTTGGACTCACCTTTTCATTCAATGAGTTTCCTTTATTTTCATGACTATTGACATTGTAGATTCACACTGAAGGCATCAAACTATGAATTAACACATGTGGAAATATGGACTAAACCAGGTGTGTCAAACTCATTTTCGTTTTGGGCCAAATCAAGATCATGAAGGCTCTTAAAGGCCTGGTTGTGCCAGAATGAGTTGATAAAACCTGTTCACAAACGGTTAATATGTCAATGAATTCTTAAAATTACATAATATTATTGAAGATTTCCCTTCAGGAACTTATAATAAATGTGACTGTTTATTTACTCGCTGTATAAATCATGGACTATAATCATACATCAACTAAATACTCAAGAAATTGGAGGGATTGGTTGATATAAATTGGCAGTAAACAGATAAAAAACTGCATTGATAGGATTGATAATATTATATTTAATCACACTTAGTGTTTAGTGTAGTCTGTGGAGGGCCACATAAAAAGCTACGGCGGGCCGGATTTGGCCCCCGGGCCTTGAGTTTGACACGTGTACTAAACCAAAAAAGTGTAAACCAACTGAAAATGCGCCTTATATTGTAGTTTCTTCAAAAGTAGCAACCTTTTGCTGTGATTACTGCAAAAGGTAAATATGATTAATGCAAATCACAGTAATCACAGACGACCTCTTGATAAGCTTCAAGAGGTCATCACCTGAAATGGTTTTCACCTCACAGGTGTGACCTGTCAGGTTAGTAAATGAGCTTTCTTGCAGGTTGTGTCCAAATTTTTGGTCTGTACCGTATATATGTTTTTCAGTATTATGGCCAATAAATATGTTTACAGTGCAACAGCAAAATATAAACAGACCCTACACTTTATTCAAAATATATTTATTTTGTATTCTTTCAACAAAGAAAAATCCATTATTTTGACATTCCACTGACAGTTAACAGATCTGAATTTGCAGAACTTGTGCATATATGGTAGAGTTTTGACAATCTACCCTTAAACAAACCAACAGCTGTGCTGCACAAACAAACATTCACCTCTCACAAATAAGTGATCCCTTTTTATAACATCTGTAGAAATTTGGGAATGGTAACATCACCCTGGTAAATTGTTATCTGTAAAACCTTAAATTCTGATAAGGAAATTTTGGGGGAAAACATCTACTTAGATTTTGATAGGCAACTTGTTACTTTAAATAGCCACCTTAATCTCTTTTTTTTCCTCTTCCTCCATCACTTTAAAATCTTTAAATAATGTCCATGACCCATACATTAGAGTCCAAAACCTTGTTCATTTCAGCACTGAAATCTGGATAGCTATCATAATAGATTGACAGCTCGAGGACACAGCTACATGTGTGAGCCACAGGTCTTCTGAGAAACCCTTGAATCTTTGTAAAATCAATAAGAATTTTCTTATCCAAGAACAGGTCTGAACCTGTGCAGAACCTTAGAAACAAGGACAGATGCTGCAAATCTGCGTTCCTGATATATGTGCTAACATACTTTTGAATGTCCTTCTGATGACCACTCATTTCCTGAGGAAAGACAATGGACTTCAAGACTTTTCTTGCATTTGGTTGTAAGTTTTCATACAGTGAAGAAAAGTCCTGGAAGCTGTTCCCGGTGATCCTGAGTGTTTTGGCCCACTGTTCAATAACATAAGCAGGCTCTTGGACAAGTGTTTTGTGTGCAAGCTCCTGGAGGATTTCATTTACGTTGCTGGCAGTTGGCATTCGTCTGCAACTGTAGTTATCAAGAATCTCTATCAATTCCTCTTGGTCAACACTGCTGAAGTCTGACTGCCATGACTGAAACACAAAGCGCTCAGATTCAGGCATGCACTTAAGGAAATTCTCCACTACATCACTTTTTACCTGTCCAAAGGCTGCTTGCTCTAGTAGGACAGGTGCAATCTTCATAGGAAGACATTTCTCTCTTGTCCATCCAAAAACAATTATTCGGCCTACACTCTCCCACTGGCTCTGTCCATAATCATGTCTCAGAAAAGGCACTCTGTAAGTGTTTCCTGTAGTACATTGGTCATAGAATTCTTTCCAGAATTCAGAAAGACAGTCTCTAACGACTCCGCCGTCATCATAACCCATCTCAGGAGTTCCATCTGGCAGTACTAGCTGGATTTTGAAGTCTCTATCTAAAAGTCTGTCATCACAGAAATGTGCTATGAGCTCAGGAAGTACCTGTCCTCTGTGAACTATCAGTGTCTCCTTCACTGCTTTGGCAGATGATGTGGATTGAGGGGATATTGGCAAAGTATC